AGTTATCGCTGAAGATTTTAAGTTGCAGCCTGTCAGTGGCGTAGCCAGCAGGGTGGTTTAAAAACCTGCATGGTTGTACCTCGATTGGCGTAGCGCCATTACTCAAATTTTAAGCAAAGGACACGGCAAGCATTCCGTGACTTCAGTGTGCCTTCTCTAGCCTGTGTCCTTTGTCGGCGGTATACCGTATGCTATCATGCTACCATACCAACAAGCCCAAATCGCCACCCCCGTTGGATACATGCAGTACCTGTAACAGACCGGACTATCTGCTATCAGCATTCGCCCTAGGCGATATTGTCTCCTCCTCCTCTCCACCGTTTCGTGCGCTTTACTTTCCTTCCTTTGCTTTCTTTCTCCCTTCCCCGCTGTGAGCGCGGCTACTTAACAAATAAACGGCCAGGGGTCTTTTTTCGTCATGGCGAGGCCCAGCCAAGTGTTCATTGTCGTCTTGTCCCTGAGTTAAACGTTACAGTACCGGCGACCCTCATTTCGACGGGCACCGCCATGTTGTCCCTACTCGGGACAAGATGGCGGGGGATGGACAAGATGGATGGGAGCTCCGGCTACGCTATGTAATGCGCATGCGCAGTCTGTGGCACACAGCGCTAAATACTTGTTTACCGTGTTCCACTAAACTAAAGCTCTGTTTCACATAGACATGATTTCACCTGGGGTTTAACTTCCCGAAACCACTATATAATTATAAGAGATGCCGTATTGAAGGGCTGCGTGAATTTCAAACACCTCGGGTTTTTTAACGTGCACCTAAATCAGTAAGGTGCAGCTAAGTACACAGATCTCGAACATTTTCATCTCCATCGAAAATGCAGCCGCCGCAGCCGGAATTCGATTCCGCGACCTTCGGGTTATAGCAGTCGAGCCCCGTTATTTCTAGACGACCGTGTCAGGGCGTATTACACATACAATAAAGAATCGTAGACTGTGGGAGATTTTGAACATGGGGTCATTCGTTTTCAAATTTCATAGCATGGAAGAATGCTTGCACTGCGCATTGACCAAGAAAGGTTGGACGAGATAAAACGAATAAAGTCTACAAGGCTATGAAATAACTTTTCACTTGACAATATATTAGAACCATGGACATCAGAGGTGCATGACAAAGAGGTGGAAGTCCTTGACCGCTTTATTATTATGTTTTCTTTTAAAACTGGCCTATCGGCGATAAATGCTGACTACTCTAGGTGTTTGCATTGTGCTCATGTGTGCCATACATAAGCGGACTCTGTTGAAACAAAAACTTGCACGCCCCCTTATGCATTTGCCTGAGCTGACTCGAAGCCAAAAGCGATTTTCGTGTTCTTTTCGCACCGTGCTTTAGTGTATTGATAGTCTCCTCGCCCTCTCCTAGACAAGCTTTCGGCACAGCCTCCGCGGTCAGCCCGCCATTGACCAATCGCCGATGTCGTGTGATTGCGTCGTCACCTGACGTCATAGTCACATTCCAACTTTATGCGATCCATGACGTCACGATGACTTCACAGTATTACGGCCTCACTGACGTCATGTCACGCTGAGGGCGTGTAACTTTCGATACGCCGTCGGCCCATGTACATTCAGCGGTTGTTACACGACTGTTTGAACATATTTTATTAGTCTTCTTTTTACATCATTTGTGTTGATTCCTTCGCCTCCGGATGTCGCGACAAATTTCGAGGTTTAGTTTCCCTCGGTGAGATAAACGTGTGGGAATTTTTCCTTGAAACAATGAGCTCGAATATGGGGAGACTATGCTATATTCCTTCAATTTTATCTGCTCTTATTAGCCAACTGATATGGGTTAGCCGTCGCCAAAGAAATGGTGACAACGACTCCATTCATTTTTTTAATAAACATCAATTATTGCTCGAATTTTTGAAATTGTCACACACTTCTATATATATACATGTTTCGCGTCTTTTCGCTCTTTTCTCGTGGTTGATGACAGCTCTGTTTCAAAATACGGGCAAGTGGCAAGTGACTCTTGTGTGATGTCTTGATGAACTCTTTTGTGAAGCAGATATTTTTTGTGCGTGAAGGATGTTATTGACGTGTGAATATGTCTGCTGTCAGTATTTATTTTGAGGTGTAAATTTCGTATTACTTTAAATGGTTATTGACCACTTCATGACGCAAATTGCGTTAGGAAACAACAGTAGCCGAAGCCATATGTACACGTAAACCTCTTGTATATAATACACTTAATTAAAGAGAGAGAGAGAGATAAAGATGCAAGGAAAGGAAGGGAGGTTAACCAGACGCGCATCCGGTTTGCTACCCTGCACTGGGGAAGGGATAAAGGGGAGAAAAGAGGTTGCACAGAGATGAGAAGGTACACACAATCACGAGCACACTCGGGGAGCACACACAGTCTACAGGCGGTCGCTCAGGTTTGTTGACTTTAGGTAAAGTAGCAGTGCTTTAGTTGCTTTCTGCGCAACTGAGGCAGATGCCCAAGGTCTTAGTATCTTCTGCACACAAAATGGTCCGGGGTCAAGTTGATTCAAAACCATCCGGAGCTGGCATCGCTGTGTGTCGTAGCAAGCGCACCTGCACTGGACGTGTTCGATGGTCTCTTCAGCTCCGCAGAAGTCGCATGTAGAGGTGTCTGCCATACCAATGCGAAAGGAGTACACCTTTGTAAATGCAACACCCAAACACTTAATGAAAAAAAGATAGAAAAGTAGCCGACTGCGTGACAAACGTGATTGTGGCAAGGCCTTTGCACGCGTGAGCAATGACTCTAATCACAGAATCTGTCTCGGTGCGTAGAGGTCTTGAGTACTCGACCCGAACCGCGCCGGGGTCCCTTTTACCTTGAAGTCGCGGAATGTTTGCCGCGTCCTGGATAGCCGTAGGGCACAGTCGCGCAAGCATTATCTGTGATGTTTCACTTCGAAATAGGTGTATGCGCTGCGTAGATGTCCGTGCATGACTCGCATACTTCATCGCTCATCTTTGCGCTGAAGTGTGCACGTGTATACGACAAGCATATTGCGCATCTGTGGGTCCGATATTTCCGCGCGTAGACGTATACTTGTTTTTTTTTTCAAACCTTTCAGTTTATCTTATTGCACACGTGTGGTGACGTGTTGCAATTTTTTATAGACATAAATCACTTAAATTTTTTGTGTCATCTCATCTTCTATGTTGTTTAAGCGATTGCGTTCCAGGCAAAACAGGCGATACAGAAATAGCGTAACTTCATGTGATACGCTATCCTCTTTTTGCGCCCCCTCGCCACTGAAACGTTTCCACGTGTGACGGGAGTGTAAAGGTACAGTTCACTATACAAGCCGCATACTTGAGCCGCCTCAGCGGCTTCAATCACCGCCCGCATTTTTTTTTTCTTCTTTTAGGCATGTGGCGTGCCGCTACAACGAACCTTACATAAAAAGCTTGAAATTTTGATCACTGTAGTGTCGTATTTATTATGTGAACCTGCTCGTGGAAATCCTGCACTGACGACTCGACCCCCGCCCGGCAGTATACCATAGCCAAGGCGGGTGGTGTTCAATTACCCCCCCCAGAACTACTAAATTTTGCAGGTGTATGCACGCACACATACAAACGCACAAGTGATTATGCATAAAGTATGGCTGAACCCCGCCTGCCTTTCGTCGAAAAAAATTCTGATTATGCTATTGACGCACAGGACCCATCGAACGTGCCTGTGGTTTTTTCTTTAATTATTGAAGGTTTTCGCTCTCTCTTTGCAGCACCGCGCACCTAATTCGGCTTCCAGCCCTGTTCTTTCTTTTTTTTTTACCCGACACTCACTGCAGGCAAGTGAGAACCTGCGCCCTTTGCAACAAGTGTTAGCCACACGTACCGCAGGTGCTGCGACAACAGATTGCTTGTTCAAAATTTAGCGAGGTCGTCGGCCTCCTGTTTGTAATGGATGCTGCGCGTCGTGTCCCTTTTCATACGCGATGCCTTGCCCTTATGGGACGCTATTAACCGATCCCGGTTCCTCTTCTTCGGCAGACCGCGGCCGGAGAACCAGCCCCATGGCTACGCGGTTGCCTTTTCTTCGTCGCGGTCCTGCTGGTGCTGCTCGGCGGCGCACTGCCCTACCACACGGGGGCGCCTCAGGGTGCCTGCGACAGCATGGTGCCGGGACACGGTCGCCTTGCGGAGACGGCGGCCGACTCCTTCAGCCTGGCGGCGCACAAGCAGCCTGACCAGAGCGTCAAAGGTGGGTGGAATCCGTCAATAAATAAATCAATCAATCAATCATTCAGTTTATTATCATGTTATAAAAGGATGTTACAGGGAGTAAAATATACAGACGAGGGTCCCAAAGTACAAGACTGCAACGGGACCCTCGGTGATGATTACAAATAATAAAAGCACAAGCATCTGTTAGAATCGTGGAAACAAAAACTAACAAAGCAGGATGAAAACAAAAAGGCATGGAATCAAAAAATCAAATAATACAGCATAAAACAACACAAAGAAGATAGATCAACTATTTAACAGGTACTCTTTTAATCCGTCGCGATGTTAGCGTTGATTGATGGATATGTGGGGTTTAACGTCCCAAAACCACCATATGATCATGAAAGACGCCGTAGTGGAGGGCTCCAATGGTTTCGACCACCTGGGGTTCTTTAACGTGCACCCAAATCTGAGCACACGGGCCTACCACATTTCCGCCTCCATCGGAAATGCAGCCGCCACAGCCGGGATTTGATCCCGCGACCTGCGGGTCAGCAGCAGAGTACCTTAGCCACTATAGACCACCGTGGTGGGCCTCGCGATGTTAGCGTGGGTATGCATTGCGCTCTATTGCGGAGCCGGAGTTCGTGGGAGCGAATGCCGGCTCCGGCGGCCGCACTTACTATGAGAGGAGAAAATGAGGCCCATGCCGTGTGAATAAATTTATGTGCACGTTAAAGAGCCCGATGTGTTCCAATATTTTCGGAGCACTTCACTATACGGCGTTCCTCATAGTCGTATCGTTGTTTCGGGACTTGAAACTCTAACAGTTATCTATTATGAAAGGTGAGCGGGGCCACAAGTTAGGGAAAAGGCGCCGTAGCGCAGCAGCGGTTGCAGGGCTCGGCTGCTGAACTCAAGGTCGTCAGTTCTATCTCGGCTGCGGAGGTCGCCTTATCGATGGACACTACAGCAATAGAAGCCCTTAGATGTACGCCTCTTTGCTGCACGCATTATGATCGGTCCTCTATGAACCTGTGAAATTCACAAAATTTCATGTTAAGCTATTTTCCGTAGATCAAATTTAGAAGTGAATAAATGAGTGTTGTTTTTTACGGTAACAAATTATAAATTAACGTATATACGTATCTAAGGATTGTACAGTCAGTCATGCTGTAGTTCTTTATGAGCCCTATTGCACGCCCATTTTATTCATTACTTATCCGCTGGCAGCCAGCATTTCTATAACGGTAAATCCTTTTCTGTTGTTTTAATTTCTGCCGGGCGCTTCACGTCTGACGTCTCGTTGAACAGAGTACGGCCTTCATCAAACAATCACGGATGGCAAAATATTCGAAGCAGCAATGATATAAAGAAACTTTGGGCAACAAGAATGTTTTCGTTGTTCGCGGATTTTTTGTTTGTTTGTTGTTGTTTTTTGCCAATAGTGCGCGCAAAGTGCCAAAAGAGGCAGCGTGTGTCACTAAATGAGGTCGCCGTGTTGATAAGAATTAAAGAACCACAAGCTCTTGAAATTTGCAGAGCCCTCCCCTACGGCGCATTTCATGCTCATACTGTGGTTTTGCGTTGCGATACTTCAGTTAGCCAGGTGGTCTAAATTTCCGGAGCCCTCCACTACGGCGTCTCTCATAATCATATCGTGGTTTTGGGACGTTACACCACACATATCAATCAATCAATACTTCAGTTATGATCAGTCACAGAGGAAATGGGGCTTTTCGCGTTTCTTTTATATTCGTCCACGAAGGTGGAGCAACACGAGGTGAAAATATCTTCTTTTAAAAGGAGCTTCAGAGATATGTTCACTTAACTTAAGCCTTCCTGAAATTGGAAAATCTTTGCACATTGGCCGGCCCTGTTTATTTTATTCAATGTTACATCCTTTCTTCAGCAGGTGGGATCCCGTCCAAGTCTTTATTTTAGTACCAGACATATTACAATTATCGATTCGATTACAGCGTATTTTTTTCCTAAACTTTGCTTATTATCACAAATGAGCAAGCTTATTAGTTTACAATTTATTTTGAACCACTATATTATACATTGTTTTCGTTTTCACCTGTTAGCGCAGTCAGCATAATATTGTTTGCTGTAAAAGAACTGTCAATAATAATAATAATAATAATAATAATAATAATAATAATAATAATAATAATAATAATATAATAATAAATTAGCCCTTCTGGCATGAGCATCGCTGGAAGCAATTTTTCCGCCACCGTATAACGGGTCGCAGCAACTGTTTCCAAGACCACGCTGCTTGATGGCCCTCTCCCCCACCCCATGAAGAATATAAATAAAGATAACTATATGAACAAAATGAAACAAAACGAACAGTTATTCGCTCGTGCATGCAATTTTACGTGACTCTGGCGTAACGCCGCGCATGCCACGCCCCCTCCTCCTCCTCCTTCATGCCGAGCGGCGCGTAGCAAAGCCACGCTTTCGAGGCCAGGCCCGCCGAAGGCGTCTGCGAAAATTGCAACGCCTGAGACGTGCTAAGCCAGCGTGGCTTCTCTTATACTTTTCCCTTTCTTTCTTTCTTTCTTTCTTTTTCTCTTTATTTATTTATTTATTTATTTTACTACGATGTTTCGAAATGCCCATTAATGCGCCTTCGCGTGTTCCCCCCCCCCCTTTTTTTTTCCTCTCCTCTTCACCTCTGGCGTTACGGCTTCTTCGCAGTGAGGCTCACCGGCACCTTCAAGGGCTACTTGATTCAGGCGAGGAAGGCCGATGATGTCGACACCATGGTGCCGGGAAAGTTCGTCGTCGAGGCCAACTCCAGCCGCACGAGCGACTGCGGCGGAGAAGAAGCGGTAAGCTGCTGCGGTATACTCACGAATCGCATCACGTCGATTCGGGGCTTTAATAAAGATAAAAGAAAGCGAGAGAGAGAGAGACTTAGTAAAAGCACGGCATCATTGATGCAATCTGAAGATCCTTTACCTGCATAATTTACCGTTGTTTACTACTCATCGTCACTGTCCGCTTACGAGAGGGCTCGGACGCAGCCGGAAAAATGTTTCGTAAAGGAGTAGGAGGAACTTTCTCTTCTGTATTTGCGTGCTTGAAGCAAAAGCATGGCAAATGTGTTTAGAAAAAAAATGGTTGACGGTTTTGTGTACTAGGTACTCTACTATGGGAAAGCATAATGCCACCTCGTGGGCCTCACATTTGATGAGGCCGCGTGAACAGAATAATTTATTGAGCCATTGTAAGCAAAGCAGGGAGGAAGTTAAAGTCAGTTGCTTCATTGTCACATTCAGAGGCCGAGATTTCAGCGCTCGATTTCGCATAAGCAAACTTACAAAAACGTTGATATTATTTAGTTCTGTTTGTAATGAACAATATTCATCACACCTATTTGTCCAAATGAATTTAGTTTTTAACGGTAGTGGCCCTTCGTAGTTGTTGAGTCTATTGTATGCTACTTTTGGTGTAAAAATATTACGTTTTCCAGAGCACCTCGATTCTTTATTTCGTTAATGGAATATAGGTACTATATTTCAGGTGGTGGCACAGGAAATGAAAAAATAAAAACTATGGTTTTTTGTTGTTTAGGGGCCACGAAGTACAGCTCCTATTTTTTCCTGTAGCTCGGCTTCTGAATTATTAATTTTATTTATTGTAGCACTATCCTAAATATTCGTCAAATGGTGGGCTTCCGGGAATAAGCTAGAGGCGGACTAAAATTATCAAGGAAGTTATAGTAGAACTTATGGAGTAGCGGAGGGACTCCGTGGCTGAAGCCGACGTGCCGTCATATTGCTCATGGGCAGAAAGCGGATGGGCACACTGTAGCGTACGTAGCTTTCGCGTTGTATTTGGGCTACTGTTGTTGCGTGTGGTGCCGGTAATTGAACAAGACGGTTCTTAACACGACTGTGATCAATCGTTGAGACGATGACGATGGGCGGTTGTGCAGCATTTTACTGTGCGAATTGTGTGAAGCGGGCACCGGGCGTAACTTGCGATGTGTAAGTATGCTCACTGTTCCTCACACAATTTCGGGACTACGACTGCATTCGCGTGTACACATATTTCGTTTTTGCGTCCGTGTGCACCGACACACTTCGAATCATTTTTGTGTGTTTTGAGATTCAAAAAAAAAAAAAAAACGCCGTAGTGCGCGGCACATGGGGTGTGCTCTGAGGCGAGAAGGTTAAGCGCCAATCATTGAGTTTCTTACAATAATACCTATACAGAGGAATCTGGCGCTGCAATCGTGTACCTTCATGAGAAATATGGAACATACAGGTTTAGGATTGGATAAGGTTAGCTGGCGAACCTTACAGAATTTCTTTTACTAAGCTTTTTAGAAAATACCTCGACTGGAGCCGCCATCTCACGCCGAAAAATGGAACGATCGAATGTTGGGATCGCGAAGGACCTCTTGCGGACCATCTTCGATGCTCTCAGTCGAACGTTTTCGCATCGATTGATCTAGATTTAGCTGACAGATGGCAGTGCCTGTCTAGGTTTCGTATGAAAAGCAGTAGATGGGCATAGCAAGGGTTCCCGAATCAGTACAGAAAGAGCGTATACTTGAAATGAAAAAAAAAAAAAAAACAGTTGAAGATTCACAGGTGAGTACATGGCTGACCGTGCAAGGATATGGCTAGAAATAACGTTAAATGGCCACTAAAATTAAATGTTCAATTAGTGTATGAATTATACTCCGAAAAATCCAGTGTCACTGATTACACCACCACAGCTTTATTGATGGATGAGAAAATGAGTGTGAGGAGCTTCAGTTTCAGTTTTCCGCCGAAATTTTCGATGTCGAGGTCATGGATTTAATTTTTTTTTTCATTTTCCTCGTACTTTGGCCACAACATTGGTTCATGATTCAACGAAATTTTCTGAATCTTGGTATGTTAAGTCTCCGGGTCCCCCTGAAAAAACTGTGTGCTTAATTGATACTGATTAAGAAATACGTGGGTCTTAGTAGACGACGTGAATATCTGTGACGTCATTGTGACTGATGCGGGGACTTCAAGGTGGCGGAGCCGTCGGCATTTTGTTGTTGCGTGTTCTCTGGCTTACCGAGCGTCTTTTGGCGTAAAACATGGTGTCTTTTAAATTGTGTGACAAATCCATACAGTTCCGCTCGTATTCGACAGGTTGCAGTTTTTTTCCGTCAGTCGATTTTTGAGGCAATAAACACCTTTATTGAAGCCATTAGACGATTTCTTGGAACAGTGTTGCTGGACCCCCTTTAGAGGGACACTCAATATAGATATAAGTACAAATATTGCACACACAGACATATGTTGAACAGTTGCACATGTTTATATAACCAATTGTTCGCACTTGCGCAACCATGCTAACTGGAGCATGAGTAATATATCAACACCAGAAGCGATAAGCTGATTTGAAGCGCTGGTGCACGTGAGGGTGGTAGCACTAGACAAATGGCGCTTAACTACAAATTACGTAAACCCGGTGAGACAACGACGTCATAGGAATACATGTTCAATATTTTAAAATTTTGATAGCCAGCACTGCAACCACAATATTGTGAGACGACGTCAGGTACGAAGGAGCGACCGTTTTATTGTCAACCCAGACGCGCGAGCCAGCAACCGAACAAGCAGCGAGCCGCTCCGATGATGATGATCACGGTGCTTTGTATGCGCAGGTGAAAGTGAAAATGATGAGCAACACAATCAGCGCTCACACTATTTCCCCCCTACACGAAAGCGGTCTGCAAGACGTTCATTTAGTAAGTGTATGAGCGCTGGATATGAGGTTTCAGGCGAGACACATGGACGATCTCGGTCCCGCGACGACGGCGATCAGAAGCCGAAGTAACCGGCGCGACGCGATAATTTACGGCCGATGTTCGTTCAAGCACGGTGTAAGGACCCAGGTATCTGTGAATGAATTTTTCACAGAGGCCGGGTGTGCGAACAGGTGTCCAGAGGAGCACTTCGTCGCCTGGGTAGAATGACACAACTCGACGTGTCGCATCACAACGAACTTTTCGCTGGGCCTGAATGGTAGAGGTGTTGGCGCGGGCGATTGTGCGGCAGTGGTTGACACGGGCAGCGAATTCTTCCGGAAGGGACGCAGATGGGACAGAAGGCGTGGACAAAAAGCTGGTGTCTAGAACAAAAGATGGTGCACGGCCATACACAAGAAAAAACGGGCTGTAACTTGTAGTGCGTTGTATGGCAGTGTTATAGGCAAACGTGACGAAAGGTAGTATTGTGTCCCAGTTCTTGTGATCGGGTTGGACATACATAGAGATCATGTCTGACAAAGTTCTATGAAAACGCTCAGTAAGACCATTGGTTTGCGGATGATATGCCGAGGTGGTCTTATGGATTGTGTCAGAGGCCTGTAAAACTTCAGCGAGCACACGAGAAAGAAATGTCTTGCCACGGTCACTCAGGAGAACACGAGGGGCGCCGTGGCGCAGGATAATGGCACGCAGAACAAAGTCGGCTACTTCGCTGGCAGCTCCAGTAGGAAGAGCTGCCGTCTCAGCGTAGCGAGTAAGATGGTCTACGGCAGTAACAATCCAGCGGTGACCGGCGGCGGTAAGCGGAAGGGGTCCGTATAAGTCTATGCCGACGAACTCGAAGGGAGCGGATGGGCACGGGAGAGGCTGTAGAGGGCCGGCGGGAAGAGATGTCGAACGTTTTCGGTGCTGACATGATGAACAGGAAGTGACGTACCTGGAAACACTAGTGGAGAGGCCAGGCCAGAAGCAGCGAGTCTTAATGCGATCGTAGGTTTTATGAAAACCCAAGTGGCCAGCCGTCGGGTCGTCATGAAAGGCTTCTAAGACTTGGAGTCGAAGTGAGCGAGGTATGACCGGGACCCATCGGCTACCGAGAGGATGGTAAGTTTGTCGAAGTAGCGTTCCGTCATGAAGTTTGAAACGCGTGAGTTGTCGTCGCAAGCGGCTGTTGGGAGCACGAGATGAGCCGGTGAGCCGATCGATGATTGTACGGCAGTATGTGTCTGCACGTTGGAGCGAGGTGAGGTCTGCGGATTGAAGGAAGTCATCCGGTGCAGTGGGCTCGATGGGACTAAGACTGGTCATCTGCGTGGTCTCTTGGCTGGGAGGTGCTGCGCAGCAGGTAGATGCGTCATGATTTTGCAACAGCGGACAGCGTGACAAAGCGTCGGCATCTTGGTGTTTGCGGCCCGACCGGTATGTGACACTGTAGTCATACTCCTGCAGTCGGAGCACCCAACGACCGAGGCGTCCTGACAAGTTTTTTAATGATGACAACCAACAGAGCGCATGATGATCCGTGACGATCGTGAAGCGGCGGCCATACAAATAGGGGCGAAATTTTTGCACGGACCATACGATAGCGAGACATTCCTGTTCAGTGATGCTGTAATTGCGTTCCGCTGGGGAGAGAGTACGGCTCGCGTAAGCCACGACTTGCTCTTGTGAAGCCTGGTCACGCTGCAGCAGAACAGCGCCGATTCCGTGCCCACTTGCGTCAGTGTGTAATATAGTAGGGGCTGTGGGATCAAAATGGCGAAGAACTGGCCCTGACGTGAGGCATCGCTTCAGGGTCTGGAAAGCAGCTTCACAGTCATCTGTCCAAAGAAATGATGCACTTGTGGTCAGGAGTTTGTGAAGAGGAGCCGCGATAGTGGCAAAATCACGGACAAAACGGCGGAAGTAAGAGGCTAAGCCGAGGAAGCTGCGAAGGTCTTTGAGCGTGGTGGGCTTAGGAAAGTGCAGCACAGCGGCCACTTTGTCGGGATCAGGTTCGATGCCAAGCTTGCTGACAACGTGGCCTAACACTTTGATGCTGCGGCTCGCAAACCGACACTTCTTGGTATTTAGCTGGAGACCGGCTTTGGCTAGACATGTGAGCACCTCGTCTAGACGTTCTAGGTGTTGCGAGAAGCTGGATGAAAAGATGACGATGTCATCCAGGTAACAAAGACAGGTCTTCCATTTTAGGCCACGCAGCACCGTATCGATCATCCGCTCAAATGTGGCTGGGGCATTGCAGAGCCCAAAAGGCATCACATTGAATTCGAAGAGACCATCAGGAGTAGCAAACGCTGTCTTCTCTTTATCAGACTCATGCATCGGGATCTGCCAATACCCAGATCGTAGGTCGAGACTTGAGAAATATTCTGCACCCTGTAAGGTGTCAAGTGCATCGTCAATTCGAGGCATAGGATATACATCCTTGCGCGTAATTTTGTTTAGTGCCCTGTAATCAACGCAAAATCGCACTGATCCGTCCCTTTTCTTAACTAGGACAACAGGAGAAGACCAAGGGCTTGTGGAAGGTCTGATAACGTTGCGTGCGAGCATGTCATTGACTTGTTCCTCGATGACCTTGCGTTCTGAAGACGACACGCGGTAAGGGCGACGGCGGATAATACGAGAACCGTCTGTGGCGATGTGATGAGAGGTCACCGCAGTTTGACCTAAGCCATCCGAACAAACGTCAAAACAAGTCTTGTGTTTTGTTAAAAGGGCCATTAAGTCATTAGTTTGCGTTGGAGTGAGATATGGACTCAAAGTGGCTTTAAGCGCATTAGATGAGCCTCCTGGTGGCGTACACTTAGCGACTGACGGCGGAGACGATACAGTGACGACACATACCGGTGCTATGTCGATAAGGCTGGCAACAGTGGACCCCTCTGGCAGTAGTTGTGGCTCTGTTGTCGTGTTGTAGGCGGTGAGACTGGCATGACCACGCGAAAACCGCACTAGACAACATGCGATGGCGATTCCTCTGAAAATGCAGCGCTGATCGGGGACAACCACTGCGTCACCGTCAATGGTATCGCTGGATCTAATGGTGAGGATACGTTCTTGGGCCGGGGGCAGTACAAAGTCTGCAGCTGCAACAAGGTGAGGCGACGAAAAATCGTAAGCACTAGAATTTTCAGTGTCCGTAATGCGAATAACGGGCGGACCACACGAAATGACAGCGGAAGCGGCTGACAGGAAGTCCCAGCCCAATATAATCGGATGAGCACATGAAGAAAGCACAGCCAATTGTATATGGTGACGAATTCCGTCGATCAGAACACGAACAGTGCATTGTCCAATAGGGTAAATTCTATTTTCATTAGCACCACATAACACCGGACCAACATATGGAGTTTGCACTTTTCGTAGACGATGACATAGTTCGCGATCAATGACCGAAATGGCTGCTCCAGTGTCCACGAGTGCGTCAACCGAAATGCCTTCTACACAAACAGTTAGTAAATTTGCAGGGCGCGCAGGAGGAATTGGGACAATTCGACGACAGGCAGTTTCTCCTCCAAAAACTGCAGCTGCTAGTTTTCCGAGTGGCTGTCGAGGGGCATCAGGGCAGAACGTAAAGGCGAAGTAGTACGGCGGAAGGGCGATGGTGAACGACGGCGGGGTGAGCGGGAAGAACGAGGTTCACCGTGGGACAAAGGAGGCGAAGGCGAACGTCGTGACGAGGGAATGTAGGTTCCTGGAACGTAGGGGTCAGACCTCGCAGCCCGGTCACTCTCGTACGAAGAATAACCTCGTCGTTCATCTTGCTGGCGCCGACGGCAAAAGCGGGAGATATGTCCTCTTATGCCACAGTAGTAACAGACGGGGCGCGTAGGGCGCCAGGCAGGGAAGTGTGGTTGTGGTGGTGCCTTGGCTGCCATCGCAGCCAAATGGTCGTATACGACGTCCGTAGTTACAGGTGGAGTAGGTGGAGGAGACCGTGACACGACTTCGGCATACGTAGGCACATGTAAGGGCACAGGAGGCGGGGCACGTGCGACGCTCGTCATCGACGCCAATTCGTCCTTATAATTTCCCGCAGGTTAGGAGGGGGTGAGCGGGCAGGTGAAGTCGGTGCGCTGGCAGGAACAAGGCTGTGAAGTTCCTCTCTCACTATGGTGCGAATTAGAGCTCGCAGCTCATGCTCGCCAGTAAGACGAGTGTCATAGGAGGCGTGTGGAAGGCGCATTGAGTAAAGTGCGTCCAGGCGCTGGCAGGTGGTAATAATGTCCTGAACTGTTGTCGGGCTCTGCATGACAAGAGCATTAAAGGCGACGGAGTTGATGCCTTTCATTACTTGCCGAATACGATCGGCCTCCGGCATGTCCTTTTGGGCGCGGCGGCAGAGGGCCAGAACGTCTTCAATGTACGATGTGTACGATTCGTCAGGCCCCTGGATGCGGGTAGCGAGCTTCTGTTTAGCTACCTCAGAGCGTCCTGTAGAAGTGCCGAATATTTGACGCAGCTGCACCGTGAATGCTGACCAATCAGGAAAGTCGCGTTCGTGGTTATGATACCACGTCTTAGCAACCTCCTTCAGATAAAAGGGTACATAGCGCAGCTTATGTGCCTCATCCCAGTAATTGCAAGCACTGGTACGGTCGTAACTGTCCAGCCATTCTTCTACGTCCTCACCGCGAAGGCCAGAAAACACTGGAGGGTCTCGTTGCGAGGTACTCACGGTGTGGTGAGGCCCAGCAGGCTGAGCGGGTGGTGCGAAGAAGGCGGTAGGGGGTGGGTCGTTTTGCGCCATCACTGTTGGCAAGCACAGCCGTCGACCTGATCGGAGCTCCAGGGGTGACCGGTAGTGCACGAGGACTTGGGAATCACAGCACGCTCCACCACTTGTGAGACGACGTCAGGTACGAAGGAGCGACCGTTTTATTGTCAACCCAGACGCGCGAGCCAGCAACCGAACAAGCAGCGAGCCGCTCCGATGATGATGATCACGGTGCTTTGTATGCGCAGGTGAAAGTGAAAATGATGAGCAACACAATCAGCGCTCACAATATATCTTTCACGAACATTAGTGTCTATTTGATAAGTAGTTCCGAGACCTGGCGTGGCTCTCTGGTAGAATACTTGATTGTCACGCAGAACCCTAGGTGCTAGGGTTTTATTCCTGTTAAGACCCTGACTTTTATTCGTTGTGTTCGTTGGGTCAACGCTGCCGATGTCAGCATTTTTTCTTCACGCTCACGTGTTAAAAGTACGTGTATTCTCACCGTTTTTCGGTAGATACTAAGGGATACAGAGACAGACAGACACAGACAGACAGAGACAGACAGACACAGACAGACAGAGAGAGAGAGACACAGAGAGAGAGAGAGAGAGAGAGAGACAGACAGAGAGAGAGAGAGAGAGACAGACAGAGGGAGGGAGAGAGAGAGAGACACAGACAGAGAGAGAGAGAGAGACACAGACAGACAGACAGATGCCAAAAATGCTTGCAATACACAAAGCAATGCTTCGCATAGAGAAAAATACTTCTCGCTTTAGTGAATTAATCTTTCGCAATAACAAAACATCACTTGTCGCAAGAAAACGCGCGGTTAAACGATAGAACGTGTGAAAATGACATGCGGGTGGCGTCACCACAATGAGACACACACCCCATTCACCGGGACGTTATAGATTCTGACGGGGTCGAGTAGAGCCTAAATAGTTCCCAAGTGGAAAATACTAAGCACATTGTCACCTGCCACTATAGTCCAGCGCTCATGCTTCAGCTGATGCGAAGGTCGCCGGTTCGATCCAGTCTGTAGTAATCGCTTTCCCATGAAGGAGAAATACCAGAGGCCTGCGTACTGTGCACATTAAAGAGCACCAGATGGTCAGAGTTTCCGGAGCCCCGCACTACGGCGTCTCTCTTAATCGCATCGCTGTTTTGGGACGTAAGACTCCATTTATTATTACGAGTGCTAATGGTACTCGACTGCTCGCACCAATGTCGCGGAACCGTATCGCGGCCGATTCGGCTGTATTTACGGTGGAGGAGAAAAATTTTGGAGGTCCGTGTTCCTAGATTTGAGTGCATTAAAAAAAGCCCAGGGGGCGGAAATTTCGGTATCCCTCCACTACCCCGCCCGTCTAGTCATATGGTGGTTTTGGGTTGTTAAACCCCAACAATGATTACGAAGGACATTGTCTTTTGAGATGGGCCATGGGCTTATTGTGCCAAATTAAGGAACATTTCATTTAACCATTGTCGGCAAGAGGTGATAAAATTATTTCATTAACTTCACGTGCGGAATTTTGGCGTCAGAATAAATAGTGTCACTTTGCCCTTGATTTTCATTTCTAGTTGTAAAGCTATGGTGGTGAAATTAACGACAAAAAAAAAGCTTCAGAGTATATTTCATCAATCTAAGCTTATTGAATATTTTACTTTAGCGTGTATTTCAAGGGTCCCGGCAACGCCCTTTGAACATGGTAAGGTAGCTGCCGTTCAGCGCATCTTCAGCAACACGTCACAGACAAGTTGTGCTTGTCTACGACCTGATACGTCGGCTAAGACGCGGCAAGAAAACTTAGCAATCTTTCGCGCATTCGTTGTTGGCCAACAACGCACGAACGGATTCATCACGGAACGATGCCTTTACCGAGAGTCTCCCGGCCATGGGACGCGCATGCGTGCTATATCACTGTTCACTTTCAGACGGCGTTGACTCACAAGGACGGAGAGGTGAAGAGCCAGGTGACGACCACGTGGATACCGCCCTCCAACTGGGAAGGCCAGATCGTTTTCCGGTGGGTGATTGCTTCTTTAGCGAAGCGTTTATGATGTCTCCTTGCCTTCACCTTGTGTTCGTGGTGCGCGCCAATACCGTATCTAAAAAAGGGAATCGAAAGACGCTGGTCTTTTACAGCTAATCTTGTTTTCTGTTTGTTTGTTTGTTTGCTTGTTTGTTTGTACCATCTATACCGGAGCACATGCCCGCTTACGGTATTGGCTGAGAAAGCATAGTGTAAACTTTCGGTGAGAGCTAAACTAGTGATTATTATCATACTAATAAAAGAAATAATTTAAAATTTCAGAAACGTTATTATGTTTTATTCGGGACAAGGCTTATACTCAGAGGGGATTGGCTGAGTAGTGGGGGATTTTATTCACTATTTTCTGTAGTTCGTCGAAGCAGTCTGTAATACATTGATTTGAAATAGCAGGAATTTTTAATAAAAAGTCTAAAGCAGAAAGAATATAGCTAGATGTTCGTTTAGTCTCACTGTTTAAATCCTCAATGGTGAAGAAAACATTCTTGTGGCTGTATTCAAGAGTAGTGGCCCCACAAAGAAGATTAACGAGTTCTGATACTTCCAGGCCCAGCTTGCGAAGGCGTGCTACTATTATTCTTGTTGTTAATGTTCTGCGCTGGTGACAGGATGAAAACGAATGACCTATACTTTCTTTTATTTTGATAGCAATTATATGGGCATTCTAGACTTGATTTTGCCGCAGTCGTCAATGTCAGCATCGCCGTCATTCACCGTATATCTATACGTATCTCTATATATGAATATGCATGAAAGAAAAATAATACACAAAAAGACTCCAGCACGCGGAATCGAACGTTGGGCCTCTGAATTTTGAGTGCGAGATGTTTGTCACCGAGTCCCGAAGAAGCACCTCTTTCAGCGTTCAAGCGGCAAGCTATTTATGTCCACCCCTTACCACTGGTGATGAGCATCTCGGGGGGGAACTGTCGTTTTTTTTTCAACATTACCAGCGAGGTGGCGCAATGAGGGCGGGTCGCCACATCATCACGACGCAGCGGCGCGCGCTCTGATGTCCCACGCGTACTTTGCCCCGCGGAGAGGGGCAGGGTGGATGCTTGCTTATCGCACGCGTGCGCTTGCTTATTTCCCAGTGGACACAACCGTATGTCTCGGCTGGCCTTGGGCTTTCACCGGAACGATTCTGTTGTAGTTACCGGGTGCACTCCTTGCAAAGTCTCCGTTTGCGAAAAAGGTGCGCTTTTCAGACACAGCGAAGTAACAACCGGCATGCTTATTCGCGTTAATCTGTACCTGCGAGTACGTTTCGTGCGTCATTTGTGCGTGAGAAACGCGGGTCATGTTTCGATCTGCTTGCCATTCTGCGCCAGACCTTCCAATTTGTTGCTATCGCGGTCACTGCTTCGCCTTTGCGGCAAAGCTATGACCGTTATTTCATTACATCAGGGGCACACAGGGGAAGGCACTAAACTTGCAGTATGCAAGTAAAAAATTGAGGGAGGTAACGTGGCTGCGAAACTTCGGCATGGCTACGTTCGTCGTTCTTGGCTTGGATAAATCGCTGCGCCAACGTAATAAGCGCATTTTGTTTTGTTTTGTACTTTGTTTTTTGTAGTAGTAATGCAGGTAAGGTGATCTAAGAGAGTGAGTGAATAAATAAATAAATAAAACAAACTTGTAATTATGGCGCTAAAAATGGCGATATTGAGTTTTTTCCTGCCAAAGTCATTTTCACTTTCATTACAGCTTCGCTGTCGGAAACTTTTCACGATGTGAAACTGGCCGATTATTTATTTATATATTTATTTATATATTTATTTCTTCAGTGATAGGTTTCAGGAAAGTAGACGTTCCTGCATTATAACGCAGCTAAGGTGTCTCCACGACATTCTTTCTAGGCGTGTACAAATAATTTTTGCGGACATCATTTATGCGCGTGTGCGCAGCGTGTATTCTTGAGCAATGAAGCAAACAAACTTTCTTTCCCCCAAAGTTACCGATATTAAAGGAAGAAAGCCAAAAAAGAAAACCTACTGCATTCCGCCTCAGAAAAACGTACTTTCTTTTGCTTGCATATCCTTTTAATTTAGGTGTGAGAAAGGCGAGAAAATTTTGGTACGCTTGAAAATAATGCGGGTGTAAATGCCCTAGCGACAATCTACGTTCAGAAAGAAATTGTACAATTTAGATCGTTACGTGCTTTTTTTTTCTGGAAGAGTGCAAACGTAGTAAGGCCACGTCCAATGCGACCTAACATGCACAGAGGTACATGGTTTGTTTTATGGGTGAGTCTTATAACCTCGACGTGACAAAGTGAACAAATATCAATATGAAAGTATATATTATTATTACAAGCAACTATTGCACTTTCATAATTTTATGTCCCTGAAACACGGCGTGTTTATCCGCGATTTCAAGGGGGTACGGTAGGCCAAATGGTGTCTGTCAATTTTAGTGTAATATTTTAGAAACGGCCGCAACGATTCCTATAAAGTTTTACCTGCTCACAAAGGATGCCAGTGGGTATCAAGTGACACCCTTATTTCATGCCTTTGTTGCTAATCCTTTCTATGGCCCACTCTAAATTTTAAAGGGTGTTCGCTTATGTAATGTACCTTTTCTCTGCAAGTACCTAAAAGAATGTAACCATACTTAACAGTGTTTTCGCAGTGACTCATAGGTTACATCTGAACAAGAAAAATATTACATTTTTCATGAAGCTTTTGTAAACACAAATGAAAATAATGCGTAAATCACGCCACGGCAGGTGCGTATCGTGTAATTTTTTTTAGAGATACACTTTTTACGAAAGCAACAAATGTTTTAGTTCAGAATATTTCTTACTTGTTGTAGCTCGCGCATACAAAGTTTAATCGAAATCGGTTCAATACATTCCGAGAAAAGGTACGTTGAGTTTGAAAATTTTACACAGAGCGCAATTTGAGAAAAACGGAGTTTGGAAGTGCGCATACTGCCCACGCCAGAGGACGCGCGGTGCACTTCGGCCCGGCATTTGAACCTCTTGGAGTGGCTGCTCGACGTCGGGCTTCCACAAGTTTGTTTCTCAGAGTACGTGAATTTTTGATGTCGAAATTGTAAGTTTGACTTCTTTTTTTTTGGGGGGGGGGGGGGGGGGGGGGTTCCGTGTTATACTCCCTTAATACAGTAATGAAGTTTCTCTGCTTGTTCAGAGGAAGACCAAGGCGATAGTAATCTGGGACCAAATACAGTGGTCCCAGATGACCAGTTTTGTCAAACACATTTTTCACATCGCCGCCGCGCAATAGAGAGTGGCTGCTAAGCTCTCTATACATAGTAACATTAGGTTGCATGCGCTGTAAAACGCTGACATCTCAGCCTCGGATGAGCGCTCTTGCGGTGTCACGCCTGTTTAGCGCAGCCCATGGCGGCGCCCAAGGAGCCCCCTGTGAAAAGGTGTGCACAGTAACCCTGGAGGCCACCGAAACGGACCGGTGGGCTTTCCGGAAGCGCTAGCGGACACACACGCACGCACACACATCACACACCACACACACACACACACCACACACACACACACACCACGCGCGCTTTTACATTTATTTTTTTGCACGTTATTGAAGTTAGTTTTTCTAGTGTCCTATCATTCGAGCACTCTCACAACACCCTTCTACAAAAACAAGAGGATGCCTTTACCACTTTGCCTGAAAAAAGGTCAATTTTTAATTTACTGGTAGTTCTATATAACAATGTCAAAAGCCGATTTTCGCCAACTTTGATTGTTGTTTAACTGTATATATAAGCCACAACGTGAGACAATCCTTCTCCCGCAATAGTTTGGTCAAACTTTGGCTGCACTCCTTACAAATTTGAATTTCTGAGAAATGTGGATACTTGAATGCTATATTCTCACAGTTTTTGTATTTCTTTGATTGCCGTGTTTTTGTTTTTCTTCTTGCATGTGTTGGTTTTTCAGGCCAGCCTCTTCTGGCTGTTAGTCGTGACATGTGTTTCTTGGAGTAGAATTTCTTGTTCTGTTTTGTTTTGTTTGTTTGTATGTTCTATTCACATTTCTTTCCTTTCCTTTCTCCCTACCAGTGCCACGGTAGTGCTAGATTATGACAACTACGTGGAACGCATCTTCTCAGCTCCCGTCTCAATTCAGAGGTCCAGCTTCGATACGGGAAAAAAAGGGGTACGTCAACTTCCTCATTCTCTAATATCCAGAGGAAGTTTGCTCCAAACCTCTGCAACAACCGTTGTGAGAGTTTTGCCGCGCTTGTGTTGACCTGAACGGACTTTCTGCAAAGGTCAGCGTCATGCATGCTTTTTGCAAAGGACGAGTTAGAGAGGGCGAAGCGATCTGCATTATTCATTCATGCTCGTTGTTACAAAAAAGGGCAAATTAAGCCTATTATATGAGGCATGCACACATTTACACATGCAAGCCTCTTTTGATGATGAGAAAATTAAGATAATTGTAAAATTGACCAACGATTACAGTAGTGCCTAATGTGAATTTTGAGTGCAACTTCATGTTGGAGCAAGGCCAACTGTGTCTAAAATTTTGGATTTCTGCAAGGTGTCGACTGGGCCATAAATTATGATTTTGCGATGTAGGACAGCACCAACTACACCATTATTCGCATTTCTGCGGAAAAGAGAGGTGCCGGCTACATACCTGTCAGGTATCGTGTGCACTTTGTTGATGCTGCGTGTGACTGATGAGTGATGGCCATGAAAAGTTATTTATTATTTATTTAATACCCACAGCGCCTATACAGGCATTACAGTGAGTGAGTGTACAAAGAAAGAACATGAAAATTTGCAGGTTTACTTAAGTTTACATAGGTTTGTGTAAAAAAAAGAAAGAGAGAGAAAAAGAACATTTGCAAGACACAAAAACACACAGCTACACTGAGCACAGCTGCGTCAGAAAAGTAATGTATTAGAGAAATAAATGCAGAAACCACAAACATTGATGAAAGTTCTACGATAATCAAAACAAAGTGCTTCATTCGGCTAACCCAAGGGCAAATTAACCCCAAAACAACATAGTTTACAACCAAGATACCGTACAGATCATGGTGAGTGCCAGGCGCACACACGTAGTCTATAGGGCTTAGCGGTCGAAAGATTCAATAATTTTTATTGCAGAAAAGAACGCATCTGTTGAAAAAATTTCTACAACTGTGGAAGGAAGTCGATTCCACTGACTTATAGATATCGTAAAAAAAGAGTTGCTGAAAAATGATGTATTGCATTTATATTCTCTTACCTTGTGTTCATAATCATTTCGGGCTGAAATGTAGTGAGGCCAGCTTATGTATACATCACGGGCAATTCGAGTATGTGAATAAAATATGTTATGCAATAGCTTCAGTCGAAATGATGCCCTTCAGGTGCTGCAGGAAACTTCCATTTAACTTCAGCTTAGCCTCCGTCACACTGAATTGTCTGTCGTACATAGGCTGAAATGTAGTGAGGCCGGCTTATGTATACATCACGGGCAATTCGAGTATGTGAATAAAATATGTTATGCAATAGCTTCAGTCAAAATGATGCCCTTCGGTGCTGCGGAAACTTCCATTTAACTTCAGCTTAGCCTCCGTCACACTGAATTGTCTGTCGTACATACGTGCATTAAACACATATCTCGCCGCCATGGACTGAACCTTTTCTAATCTTTCTTTATTTGAAGATGTTGCGGGGTTCCACACACAACATGCATACTCCAGTACTGATCTCACGTATGCCTTTTACCTCCTGGGTTTGCTGTAGAAAAGCACGTGTGTTTCTTTTTAAGAATACTAAGCTCCGACAAGCTATATTTACAGTGTAATCCACATGCCGATTCCATGATAGAGAGGGGCAGAAGAAAACACCTAGGTATTTGTATTCGTGCACCATTTTTACATGAGAGCCGTTTATTGTGTATTCAAATTCACCTGTTTTTTTTTTTTCTGGAAAAGCTCGTACATACAGTTTTCTTAAGATTCAATTTCATTTCCCATCACTAGCACCACGCGTATATTGCGCATAGGTCGTTATGAATTCCGGAGCAGTCAGTTTCAGAGGTAATCCAACGGTATAAAATGCAGTCTTCTGCAAACAACCTAAGATGCGATTGTACTTTTCGTTAATGTCATTTATATATAATAAAAAGTAATGGTCCCAGAACTGATCCCTGAGGTACCCCTGACGTAACACTAGTTATATCAGACTTCGCCGTTTACAACTTGTACATATTGTCGCCTCTCATGTAGATATTCAGCAATCCATGTAATAACTTGGGAATAATATTAAAACTGGTTAGTTTTTGCAGCTATAAGTAGTGCGAAACAGTGTCGAACGCTTCTTGAAAGTCGAGAAAAATGCAGTCCAACGAAAATTTGTCGTCCAGTGCTGATGCTAAATCAGTGGGTGAACTCTACCAGTTGTGTCACACATGATAGCGCCTGCCTAAATCCATGCTGGTTAGAGTTGAATAAGGAATCACTATCTACGTGCTTTACAATCACAGTATATAAAATATGTTCAAGAATTTTACTGCACACAGAAGTGGGTGAGATAGGGCGGTAATTATTCACAGCATTGCGTGGGCCAGATTTATGTATAGGAACAACGGATGCCATTTTCCAATCAGTTGGAAGAGAACTCTGTTTTAACGTTTTTTTCAAGAATAACTTTCAAGTACCTAGACACTGCATGGGAAGAAGACTTCAACATAAAACTAGGCAAGCCATCAGGACCCACTGCTTTCGCACAATCTAGATCTCTAAGTAGTAATTCAATGCCACGAGCTTCAAGTACTACATCAGGCATGCATGTGGATTCATGTGTCAACATTTTTAAGTCTTTTTGGGGGTCTGTAGCGGCTGAGAACACTGACGTGAAATATAAATAGAAGAACTCGGCCTTTTCTGTCACATCGCTCACTGATAATATCACCGCTGGTCAAAGCAGGAATTGAAATGTTGTCTTTGTTGTTTCGTTTGATATCTCTTAAAGTTCTTTCGGGTTGTGCGTTGTTTTACGTTCAGTTGTTTTAGGGTAGGCTCTTTTCATTTCGACTGTAGCATTATTTACTTAATGCATTGCCAGCTTCAGTTTGGAAGAGTTTTCTTCCGAGAGATTTCTTTTAAATGAACGGTAAGTTCTCTGCCTAAGCTTGACCAAAATGTCGAGTTCTCTACAAAACTATGGCTTACTTTTATTAAGCCTTCTGGTCAGCACCCATGACAGAACAAATTGGTTTCTCAGCTCGAGGATCTTCTCTTTAAACAAATTCCACAGCTCTTCTACAGAATACTCATCGGCAAGTAATTCGAGAACAATGAAATATGCTTCTAATGCAGTGTTGATTCCTTGGACATTAGCCTACGCGTAATTGTACATGCACCGACTCCTTTCACTGTAAGCACTCGTATATTTCATATTTATTTCACTTAGCACAACCTTGTGGTCACTTATCCCTTGGTAATACTTCAGTGTTTTCTACCATTTCTGGCATATTTGTGAAAAATATATCAAGGATATGGCCTCCTCGAGTTGGTTTCAACACTGTCTGTTTTAAAGACAAGAGGTTCATGAAATCAGCCATTTCAGATTTAAAACTAAGAGAACTTCCTGAAGCTATTGGTTGCTCATTCCAGTCAATATCAGGCAGGTTGAAATCCCCACCTATAACCACGTAATCAGAGGCGATGTTTGTAGCTATAGCAGTGAATTCACTAAATTCCTTAGTTAAACCAGTTGATGGTCGATAAAAAGAGCAGACTGATAGTGATTTGCCATTCGAGAGCTTAAGCTGACACCAAACAGCTTCACTCATATCGTGTGTAGTGCTTATGCCTACAGATGGAATGTGCTGATCTACCAAGATAAATACACCACCTCCATGATAGTTCCTGTCTTTCCTGTAAGAAGCAAAGTTATTTGGAAATACCTCGATGTTTGCCACTGTTTGCCACGTCTTCATTCAGCCATGCTTCAGTACCGATAACTACACTTGGTTTGATAATGCACACTAAGTCATCAAATTGCTGAGCACTTCGCAGTGGGTGGGAAGCATTAAACCACACACACGTTGCACCATTAGCACTGTGCAGCAAGGAGTCAACGGAGAAACGGGCACTCCGCATCTGCCTCAGCGACTGATATTCCGGCTTGTGCTAGCGTGTGGCTGCCGCATTCTTCGGAAATGCAACCAACCTTTTTAAAAATGTTGGAAACGAACTCCGCTTATCAGCACAGTCGCGTCTTCCAAGTAGATTTTCGATGTTCTCCTAAATTTTTCTATTTTATGTTGAGTATTCCTTTGACTAAAACAGAATAATAATTGGTTGGGCAACCTTTGTTGCTTAGTAACGAATTCTTCCTCTGCACTGTGTACTGTATTGCAGGAGGCAGCAACCACACCGGCGACCAATGCGGCGTACTCCGGCTGTGGCCAGACGATGGGCTGCTTCGGCACACCTAAGGGCTGCCTGTCCCGCGGCACCTGCTCCCTGCTGCTCACTTATGTCGCTCGCGGCGACGGTGTTGACTACGAGCTCACTGCACCATGCGCGCCACGAGAACATGTGGATCGCCGCCGGCATCTCCGAGACGCCCAGCATGGTGCGCATGCGCAGCTTTTAAGCGAAGTTTGTTGCGAGTTAAGGCTTGCTCCCAGGTTGTAAATGAAAACGTGCCAGAACTCGAGTCAAATGCAGCCTAAAGTAGTCATGTCATTTGCCATTATCACCAAAGTTGTAGCCTAATAGAACAGGAGCGATGTTATGAGCAGAGTTTTCGATATTGATGAGTAAATAAAACCATCTAGAGTAAATAAAACCGAAATTTAAAGATTGCCAGTGAATAGGCATGGCACCAACAGAAAAGCTTCGTGTCCAAATGGGTCACAAAGTAGCCAGTTTGGCGCAAAGTAGCAATCAACGGCATTGAAGGAGAAGCGGCAAGGAGGCCAAACAAGCTTTTCAAAGCGGCGAGGCGGTGAATGGGCACATCTGTTCCAACAACGCGGCTCTCTTGGTTGTCTGTACAGCCCAGAAGGCGCGGCATCTCGCGCTTACGCGCACGTATAGCTGTAATGTGACACTGCTTTCCCCAATGATGCAGCAATGTCACCGCCTCATGGCGCTCTGATTGGCTGTGATATAGGTTTTCACGACTGCTCGCGACAGCGGCGGAGAGGAACGCACATCGAGGAACCCTACTGCCGCAAAACGCAGATCTCCGGCGGGCGGCTGAAAAACCAGTCACCCGAGCAATCCTGCTTTTTTTTGGGGGGGGGGGGGATACAACAAACTTATTTTCATGTAAAAAGCCAGTGTGTTATGTTGAGGTTTGAGTGTACTTTAAGGCTGGTTTTGTTACATTGAAAGTCACTGCAATGATATTTGGCACGATTTCTTTAAAGCCTGTATATTTGAAGTGCAAAGAGTGCAATGCATTAAGTTTGTAATACGGCTCTATTCCTCTTCTCACTTTCCAGGATATGGCAAGTGTGGTGGAGTGCCTGCGCAACAAAGGAGTGATGTCAATGCGAGAGTCTTGGAACACTGACAGCAAGAAAAACATCCTCATTGCCTAGTGTGAGTGAGCACGATTTTTGCATAACGGCTGGCGAGTTTGGTAAATTGTCATAGCTCTGCCACCCGTGAAACTTTATAATGTTTTTGTTCGCAGTGGTGTTTTTTAGCATGTGGAATGTATGTGATTCGAGCGTTATCCTTTACTTAAACTTCAAAAAAGTTTTGCCTTCATTGTGGACTTTATATTTTCGCCTTCCAGGGACATAGAATGAAGTGAGTGTGAGGGCGGTGATTCATAGGACAATGTTTTGCTACCTTGCATGGGGGGCTACTATCTCTTTCTATGCTCAAGTGTGTATAGCTATGGAAAACATGCAGACGAATCCGAATGGTGAGGGTGGACACCTGATGTACACAAAACTCGTTCCATCACTTTCCAAAGCGAAACTGGGTTGTTGGTTTTCGAGAACATTTAGCCTGTTATTTAAGTCGACCTAGCTCTGCAGATATAGTGACACCAAAGCTGCAAAATTCAGCGTGTACGCATTGGGTTTCATATCATCTCAATTCATAATGACCTAATTCTCGCTCACGTCAGTCATCGTGTTCATGCCTTGCTCATGGATAAGAGTGTTCTCAAGGTGTCTGGCTATGTTAATTTTTTGGTTAATTTAAAATGTGAAATGCGGGCCATTGAATGATTAGTAATATGTCCTAGTAGTCTCTATCTGTCTGTGTATCTCTTTTTGCATTAAATTTTCTTCCACTTCTGCACTACACGTCCAGCTGCACTTCGATTCTTGTAATTCATTTTCAGCAAACTCCCGGCCTGACGTTTGTCAAGCGCGACTACCACGATGGCATGCTTCGTTGCTCCTGGCACCGCGCTCACGTGACGAGTGTGCGGAAGACCACTTTCAACACTGCGACCAACAGTTACCACTTGCTCCTGGCAGCTGGACTGTTTGAGGGAAACACTGATGGTGAGTATAGCAATTCAGAAGCCTAGTATGGCTCTTGGCTGAAAATGTGTCTTCAGCACCGTGAGCACAAGTGTGACCAAAGGAGGTCAACGTGCGCATACCCACATCTCGTGGATGAGTATCAAAGTTACTTGAATGTGGGCTGAATGAGAAATAAAGCAAAATGAAATAGTGATCATATGTCATGTGATTAGAAATCGAAGTTGACCCCACAACATCAACCAAATACAAATTCAAGTGAACAAAAGGAGCTTAAGTAAGAATAACAATAGGGATGAATTATGGGTACATTAGGTGTATGAAGGTGAAATAAATGTGTGCGGTGAATAAACTTACAAAGAAATAATTATAAATTTTAAATGTCATATGGGAGCATAGAGCATCGATTTATTTTGGGAAGGCACAATTAACAGAAGGCATCATTGCACCTCAGTTTAAAAGTTGACCATAAAATTTCACAAACCTGAACGCAAGTGCCATAAAAACATGGTTCATCCCTCTGTTCTAGGAATCAGTAAAATGCGAAAATAAAACGTGTCCATAAAAACAATAGTTTAATGTTTACCTTACATTGATATAAAAGAGCTTGTGCAATCGCTATTGGTTTTTAATAGGTATAGCACCAGTTAGCGTGTATGCTTGCACGTAGGTGCGTAGTGATACATCTCCATCCCGATGACTAACATTCATCAATAATTATTAAACAAACCCTTGCAGTCATAGGTGCTTGTAGTAGCTCTAGTAGTTAACGGTAAAAGTAGAATCACAGAACCTGATCTGACGTCCAGAAAAACGTGTGAACGTGACTTATTGGACACCGAACTTGGGCTAAGGTTCCAACTCACAGCATGTTGGATTTATTTAACGCCACTGCCCGACCAAAAGAAAACGCAACGCGTGTCTTGTCTTCCCACTCTTCTCCTTGTGCGGCCAGGATTATTGGCGGGGCCAGCATAAGCGGGGAACGCAGAATTACATCCAGGCGAAGCAGGTGCATTGCTGTTTGGATTGCAGAGCTATTTTTATATAGATGGATGCAAAGAGCTACGCCGACGCTTGGGGTAAGGTCGCCACCTGGGGGCATGTCAAGGCGTTGACAAAATTGATCATCTTGTCCTATTGGAAACGCCCCAAATGGGAGGAACGTTTAGAAACGACACATTGATGGAATAGTTGCGGATGTCAAGACCATGATGCATTACTGCCCTTTGCCAAGAATGCTTCCATAGGACAACGGTAGATATAAAAGGCATATCTTTAGAGCCAACAAAGTATGATGCCATAGTGCATTGGACAGCGTGTCCGGCATTTGTTGTCGCGGACCCAGAGGTCATGGTTTTGACTCCCGTTGACATATTTTTTATCTTTTTCTTCTTATCATGCATATCTTTTGGCGCCGTTTCTGTCACAGAAATCTATCAGTGAAGTCTTGGGTGGACTTCGGTATAAAACACATTCGTGTTAAAAACTCTTTGTGGACATTGATGAAACTATTTTTTTCTCTTTCTTACTAGCATCTTTGATTTCTTTTCATAGGCAGCATGAGTATGCAGCATACAAATATGTTAATGATAACAACATCACTTCAGTCTTGCACTATGTATCAAGCCATTATAATTTCATGCTACCTTCTACACAGAATACTAAGGTGACCCCATTGTAATGTAACTTACTTAAGTTCAAGTTTCTCAAAAGAGATCTTGACTGATATCATAGAATGAACAAAAGATATTCTCGTTCACTCACACTACTTGGGTGTAATATAAAGGTGAAGTGAACACATGCACCAAGCCTTCCAATATAGCACATTCTCGCAAGGTAGGCTTTTTGTGTATCGGGGATTTATTCACACCCTGCATAATTTTTCCAATGCTTATCGCCTCTCGCAACACTTTGGCAATGTTTCTGCTGTATATCATACCCTTGGCTGCGCACCAAGCACCTTAATAGTCATTTTTATCAAGGCATTTATTGACGTAGATTCTGTTCAATAGTTATTTAACACCAACTGAGATGTTCGTTGCCCCAACCCCTCCTGTGAAACCCTGTTACAGGGCTCTTGAGGTTCTTTTAGTAGGGGAGTGAGGGAATGAGCGAATTACTGAGCAAATAAACGAACGCTTGCCGCTTTTCTATTCCCCCCCCTTTTTTTTTTCAGTTAAGAAAGAACATTATGAACGGGATTACACCAAGGCTCCTGTGAACCTGAAGGCCATGCAGGTTGCTTTGGGTGGGGCTGGCTCTGACATTTTCATCAAGCTTCATGGTAAGGATGTGCCTTTTGCTTTGCTTGTTCATTTTTGCATGAATGACTGGCTTTCAATGTGCCGTACAAACTGCATGTTAGCTGAATTCAAAGACAACCAGTTTTTCATTTGTTCTTTTGGGATACTCACACGTACTACCCGATTTAAATCAGATGCCCTCGAGCTGCATAAGACTTGATCTAATCTGGCAAAACTTGTTATATTCTGCTAATGGGTATGCAGATTGCTGGTGCAGATCATGGCCGTAGTTCATTAGTTAATATATCACGCAGTCACCCACTTATGACAATCTCTTGCTTGTGGCAGTAAAAGCGACTTAAATGGTCTTTATATGCATCGTCCTCATTAGCAGTGACCGTACTCTAGATTGAAATTTGCTTCCTTACAGATATGCCAACTTGTTTTTTTCTGCTTGCTGAATGAATGAATGAATGAATGAATGCAAAACCTTATTTCAGATATTTTTTTCCAGTGAATGTGGAGGCCTCAGTCCAAGGTCCCTGTGGCCTTTGCGATCTTGCAAGCTCTGTCGATCAGTTTGCACCAATTCCTACATCAGACTGACATGTTCGTTCATAATTGGGGCACTAGAAAGAGAAGATGACTGAAAATCATTCACATAGTGTAACCTTTCGAGCAAAATCAGTTTTTAAAGGATTCCTCATTGACTAAAGAGCACTTGCGCTGCTAGCAATCATACAGTTTTTATTGGAAATAGCTTCTGTGTTACCTAAATATGTTTAGAACTGTTCTTTCTTGCTTATTGATTCTTTTCAGGCTCTTTGATGATTGTTGCCTGGATACTGCTTGTCAGCGTGGGCATCCTTCTTGCCAGGCACTACAAGAATGTTTGGGAGGCCACCACAGTATGTGGCGTGAAGCCATGGTTCGCTGTAAGCTTGCTTTCTGTACAAACTGTTCTTCAGAAAATGAGTCTACTAATGAGTGGTTAGCATTGTCGGCAATATGTAAAAAGGACTGCAAGTGATATAAGGTGCAGACTATTATTAGTAGTAGCCACATGAAACCAATGAATAACGAAAGGAAGGAAAAGGTTAGTAAAGTCAATTTATAGTTTTTATTGAAGTTAAGAGTTACGATCAACGAGAGCGGAAGTGAACATAGTAAACAAATTGCTAAGGTTTTCTTTTATTTTATATTATAACCTCAGCTCTTCATGCAAAAACTACAAATTATATATGCCATGTATTGCTCAGCTTAGTCATCCGCTTGCGTCATTTAGATGTCTATAGTAAGCATACAACATTCCATTGGAGGATATTGCCGACAAGAAATAAAGAATTTGTTGGATGCACATTTGCAGTGGGTATTCATTTTCACACGATAACAACTAATGCTTGCTGCATAGAGCGAGAGCTTGTAGAGCAGAGCCTACACATTGTGCCTCTTCTTAATACTTTTTACTCGGCTAATTTTTTTCTTGTTTATGTACTAAGATTAGCATTTTACAATTAATAAAGTCCCTCCAAAAGTCTTCAACTACTTGGTGCTTGACAATTGCAGTGTGCATTCATGAAGTTGTCGCAACATTTTTAATGGGTGTCTTTGGTTGTCTTTCAATGAGTAACAATGAACAATCAGCAGAATTAGTTTTCACCTAACCAATAAATTCTTCAGCTTTGCCCCATTATCCAGCTGTGTTCCTATTTTTCATTTCGATTTTCTAGTTCCATCGTGTGTTGATGATGCTAGCAGTGACCATGATGATTGCAGCCCTTGTGTTGATCTTCTACAGGGTCGGCCAGTGGAGCGTGGTGAGTTGACAGGACGCTTGTCAAAGACTCATTTCTCCATCGACTTGAGAAATCAGTGTTTGAGAAGTATTACTAGCATTAGAGAGATTTTACAAAAGTTCACTGAAAATTTTGATCATTGCTGTATTACAGACATTGTTACTGAAAGAAGAATTTTCTCTTTGGGTACTGAAAAATTGCTCTTCCACTTTTCTTATTTGTCTTTTTGCCACAGGTTATTGGGAATAAATAAGGAATGTAAGCCACACTTACACTACTTTGTCCTAAAAATATTTCTCAGCTCAATTAGTGCTAAGACTTTTATATACAAAAAGAAACCATCCATAGAATTGCTTACCGGTATTTGGTTACTAGATCATGAATAAGTTGCCACAGCAAGTTTCTCTTGCGGCACGAAAATATCATGCACAGTTATCCAACCAACATAGCTTAATATTTTCCCATCAATGTTCTTTGTGTTTCTTTTTTTTTTTTCATTTTTCGATGGCTGGATAAGTTGATGCTGCTAAGTTTGGGGTTTATGCCACATAATAAGAGTCATTGCAGTAATTTCTACATTTTCTTGAAATTTCTTATGAAAAGGGGGAATTCAAGGGGGGATGCTAAGGTAGGTATTGCAGTATCGCAGATGTTGGATTGAAGATATTTGAATTCTAAATGCGGTGTTATTCTGTTGTGTCTTGTATGCACTGAGAAACATGTGTTGAAACATCGCTCTTACCACTAGTTTCCATCTGCACAGTCAGTGATATTGCACTTGTTGGAGGCAGCTCAGCTTAGGTTGGATGAAGTGACTGCAAATTTTTCTAACATTGGTTTAATTATCACTATAGCTATGTTATCTGTTTTGATGAAAGTGTGTTACATTTAGTTGAAACTGGCCCTTTTTATGCATGAAAAGTATAATTCTTCTATAAAGAACTAGTTGTGTTTTATAGCATTGTTGCGCCCCGCCACGGTGGTCTAGTGGCTAAGGTACTCGGCTGCTGACCCGCAGGTCGCGAGATCAAATCCCGGCTGTGGCGGCTGCATTTCCGATGGAGGCAGAAATGTTGTAGGCCCGTGTACTCAGATTTGGGTGCATGTTAAAGAACCCCAGGTGGTCAAAATTTCCGGAGCCCTCCACTACGGCGTCTCTCATAATCATATGGTGGTTTCGGGACCTTACACCCCACAAATCAATCAATAGCATTGTTGCTAGTTTTGAATATTTGGTTAGTTGCACGTTAATAAAATAATTCATTATCATTGCTCAGGCACATCAAGGACCAGTATTGAATCTTGTCTGACTGCATAACACATTTCTAGTTTTTTGTGTTCATCTCTGGAGGAATTGCTTATATTGTCATGGAATGCTATGTACAAGCTAGATTGAGTATCGTATCTATTTAATTAACTAGCATTGCCATCAAGGCAAGACGTCCTTACAGAGGGGAGTCGTATATGTGAGAATACTGAAGAGATTAAAGATATGGAATGGCATGGTGGATATATAGGATGGTATGCCTGACAACAACAACAAAAAAATAAAAAGGAATTTCTAAAAGCATCTTTTAAATGAGCGAGGTACATGATATTCTAATTGATTTGTTGCCGTGTTTCCTTGCAGACCGAAAATCCTCATCCAATCTTGGGCATTGTCTGCTCAGTCTTAGGATTCCTCCAGGTAAGTGAGTTTTCTTGCACAATTTCTGGAAACCCCATCAAAAATTTACTTATGTCATGTTTTTAAATAGTTTTTAGGGCACTGTATAGGTACTGTGAAATTTAGTTTTGAAAATGTTACACGAGTACTTTCACTTGTCATCATGATTTTTGTTTTTTGAATTTTGAACTATGACTAAGGAATTTGATATCATACAAAGCATTAATTTAAACTGTTGCACTTTTCTAACCAACAATGGCTCCAAGAATAAGCTTGTCTTTATCTTTAATTTTTAGATGCAATGAAGCGTCATTCTAAACTGAACATTCCTTTTTATCATTTTTGTTGAACACTAGGTTCAAGGGATGCGAAGGCAACCGTTTACTTGTATTTGTAGATGTCGTAAACAAATAAAACAATAATGACAATTTATAGACCTTAATGATGACTTTTTATAGACTTTAGCGTGATATTTTATAGGTATGCAACTGTTATTGCAGATATTTATTCATATATTTACTGGAATATAACAAATTAATAATAAAACACCTGCTACCCTGACTTGCCTATTTCGATAGTTCTTAATCTAAAAAGTTTTCTGTACTTGTTGGGCACTTACACACATAATATGACTTCTTAAATCTTAGTGATGTTGAATCTGAAGAATAAGAATGCCTTCTGAATATTTCTTAATCTCACATTGAGTATTACAACTTCAATCGAAATGGATAATTCCAGCCCATCATGGCACTCTTTCGGTGCCATCCCCATGAAGACAACAGGTACATCTTCAATTGGGCTCACTGGTTCAATGGAAACGCTGCCCAAATTGTGGCAGGTAAGTGTTCTTGCTGAAGAAATATTCAACACTGGGTGCTTTAAAAAATTTTACGCGTTATTTCTAATAGCTTCTTTGACTCTTCAATAAAGGTTTTGTCAGATTTCACGTTGATTCCACTGATTAGAGCAAGTGCAGGAGTTTGGGCTGACCCACCCAGAGGAAATCGGTAGTTGCCTTTTCCTATTTCTCTCTCTCTCTCTACATCTTAGTCTTTTCTCGTCTTTAAATCTATCCTGTCTTCTTCTCTCTTCCATTTACTTCCGATTTTCCTGGCGGCAAGGGGTAACCTTGTGTATGTGCCCTGTCTTGGGCACAATATATTTGGTTATAGTGGCCGTGTACAGCTGACGTTGACATGCCTCATATAAATTTAGGACTTGTCACGTCCCCGTGTTGGGCTCCATGGTGGGCGGCTGGCATGGCTGCCTAACTCATATTTACTTTATGGCTTTTACTTCTCTTCGTTCATTCCACGATCGTCCTCTCTCGAAGAGAGGGCGCACCGAAGACGTTTGCAACTCTTTCAGAAAACCGAAAGAAACCTTTCCCCGCTACCATGTAATCCACTGTGAAACTGCTGAAAAGAACGCCAGAACAATTTCGCCTTTTGTTGTTTCCAAATGCCTCACCACTGCACTTGGCGCAGGTTACCAGGCTACAAGAATGGCCAGTGGGGATCTCCTCCTCGAGGTAAAAAGCCAGAGCCAGTATGAAAACCTCTTGAAACTAGAATCGTTTGGAAACATTCCTATCTCAATTACACCACACCGCTCACTCAACACTTCTCGAGGCGTTGTATCTGATCAAGACTTGCTTGGCCTGACTGAAGGTGAGCTCCTCGAGGGCTGGAAGGACCAGCAGGTGATACAAGTACAAAGAATCAAAATTAGGTGTGATAAGAACGAAGTCCCAACAAAAACACATAATTGGGACGTTTTGCACCAGTACCCTGCCTGAACATCTCGAAACAAAATACTTGAAGTTGAATGTGCGACCCTACATTCCCAACCCACGACGTTGCTTCAAATGCCAGCGTTTTGGTCACGGCTCTCAGAGTTGCCGCGGCCAACTCACCTGCGGAAAGTGTGCCACCACAGGACACGCCACAGACGAGTGTAAGGTGGAGGATGGGGCCCACTGCGCAAACTGTGATGGTGCCCATCCCGCATACTCCCGAACCTGTCCAACATGGAAAAAGGAAGAAGAAATTGTTACAATCAAAATCGCACAAAACATTACTTTCCGAGAAGCCTGACAACAAGTATCTGGTCTTTTCACAAACAAACCATCGTTCGCCGATGTAGTGCAATAGGGGGCAGCACTACAACGGCCTGCGGCAACTGCCCATGCCAGGCACAGTGTGCCCAGGCGCTTGCCACTGCCCCCACCCACGGTGGGAACAGCTAAGGCTGCCCTGCCACTCGTCCTCACGGCCACACCCACGGCCGCTGCAAGCTCTTGCAGCAGCCAGGGTATCCCAGCAGCAAAGGAGATCCCGTCGACCTCTAGCCCGAGAAAACCAAAGGTTTCGCCCCCCTGAGGTGAAGGAGACCCCAGGGTCGGCCGATATGAAGGCCTCATCCCACCAGGCGAGGCCCCAAGCTCGAAACACCAGCTCGCAAATGCGGGCACGCAGTGCCTCTGAGGAGTCGATAGACACCACGGTACCCCTGGTGCCGATAGATCGGCATAGCTCCCTGGAGCGTGCCAAAAGAAATAAAAAGCCAATAACGGGGCCCGGTGACGGCCCTGTTCTTTGAGTCTTAACGTTTAGCCTAAGAAGCAGACACACCCATTTTTTTTACACACAGCACTACGGCACTCCCAATGTGGCAACACAAATAATACATTGGAACCTCAGAGCACTGCTTGGAAACCTCGATGATGTTCAAGAGCTCTGTTGCAAACATTCGCCGAAAGTGCTGTGTGTACAGCAAACTCATTTAAAATCCAAAAAGACGAATATTTTGCATCGGTATGTTCTCTTCCGAAAGGACAGAGATGATGCTGTGGCGTCATCCGGCGGTGTAGCCATTATAGTTAATCAAAAAGTAGCATGCACACATTTACCACTACAAACAACTCTAGAGGCAGTGGCTGTTCGAGCAGTTCTTTTCAACAAGCTCGTCACCATCTGCGCTCTGTACATACCCCCACACCACCGTCTTGAAAAACGAGAATTCCAGTCCTTAATAGATCAACTACCTGAACCTTATCTGGTCCTTGGTGACCTGAATGCTCATAGCAGTATATGGGGTGATTCTCGCTGCGACGCACGAGGTCGTCTCATTGAACAGTTCCTTTTTTCCTCCGGTACCTGACTTTTGAATAGGAAAGAGGCGACATATTATAACCTTGCCAACAAAACCTACTCTTCCATAGACCTCAGCATCGCATCTCCTTCACGTGTACCATTACTCTAATGGAAAGTTATAAATAATCCCTATGGAAGTGACCATTTTCCTGTCGTTTTGAGTACACAAACATCATACGAATGTCCTCCACAAGTTCTCGAATGGCTTATACACAAAGCCAACTGGGAACAGTTTCATAACAATGCTCAGTTATGTTGGACTGACATAAGTGGGCTAAACTTAGATAAAGCTGTGCAGTACTTTACAGCTCTCCTTAATAACGCAGCAGCCAAGTGCATCCCACAAACATCTGGACTGCCCGACAAGCGACACATCCCATGGTAGAACACGTAGTGTCGTAATGCGCGAAAGGAGCAGAATAAGGCATGGAGGTTGCTTCGGAACTCACCGACAGCCGAAAATCTTGACAGCCTTAAGAAAATAAAGTCTCAAGGCAGGAGGACGCGTCGGCAGGCCAGAAGAAAAAGCTGGCACAAGTTTTTATCAGGGATCAATTTATATACACAAGCAGCAAAAGTCTGGAACATGGTTGGTAGGGTAGCAGGTAGGCAAGTACACTCGCTTCCACTTGTAAACACACAGGGTGACAGCCTGGAAGATCAGGCGAACTTCCTTGGTGCACACTATGAGCAGGTGTCCAGCTCGCCACACTATACTGAAGCTTTCCAAAGATATAAGGCAAGAATAGAAAAGCAGAAACTACAACACAAGTGTACACACTGCGAGCCATACAACCAACCTCTCAACTTAGCTGAGCTGCAAACATCACTAAACTCCTGCAGTAATTCTGCCCCAGGCTACGACCGTGTCATGTATGAGATGTTGAAAAACCTGTCGCCTGAAACGCGAAAAACTTTGCTTTCCTTATACAATGCTATCTGGCTTTCTGGCACCATCCCTGCTTCCTGGAAAGAGGCGATTGTTATCCCTATTTTGAAACAGGGCAAGGACCCTTCCTCAGTTTCGAGTTATAGGTCCATTGCACTTACAAGCTGCTTTTGTAAACTTTTTGAAAAGATGATAAACCGTCGGCTTTTACATTTCCTTGAAACACACAATCTGCTCGACCGATTCCAGTATGGCTTTAGAGAGGGTAGATCCACCACCGACCATCTTGTGCGCATCGAGGCAGAAAACCGAGATGCTTTCGTTCACAAACAATGCTTTCTCTCTGTGTTTCTCGATATCGAGAAGCCATACGACACAACATGGCATTTTGGCAAATTGAGAGACTTGTCTCACCTGGGTGTGTGCGGTAGAATGCTTTTCATAATCAAGAGCTACTTGTCCGATCGGACATTCCGTGTCCGTGTGGGCAGTGTTTTCTCCCAATCATTTGTCCAAGAAAAGGGAGTACCGCAAGGTGGCGTGCTTAGTTGTACACTTTTTATTATCAAATGAATTCCTTGCACCTGTCCATTCCCCGCAATATGTTCTATTGTACATATGTTGATGACGTCCAACTTGGCTTTAGGTCATGCAACCTGGCAATGTGTGAGCGGCAGGTTCAGTTAGGTTTAAACAAGGTCTCCAAATGGGCAGAGGAAAACGAATTCCGACTGAACCCACAAAAAAGCACGTGTGTCTTGTTCTCCCGAAAGAGAGGCATGCACTCAGAACCCGACATTGAACTGAACAGTCAACGTCTGTCTGTTAATGCGGAGCATAAATTTTTGGGCTTAATCTTGAGCAAGTTGACATTCGTACCGCACATCAAATATTTAAAAACAAAATGTTTAAAAGCCATGAATGTTTTAAAAGTGTTGTCATGTACTACGTGAGGTAGTGACAGGCAATGTCTCATGAACCTCTATAGAAGCCCTATTCGAACCCGCTTAGATTATGGGGCCGTTGTTTATTAGTCTGCGACTCAAAGTGCTTTAAAGATGCTGGACCCTGTGCACCATTTGGGCATCCACCTTTCTACGTGTGCCTTTCGCACCAGCCCCGTAGAAAGCCTTTACGTGCAGTCAAATGAGTGGTCGCGTCATCTGCAGAGAACTTACATGTCATTTGTATATTTCCTTAAGGTGAAAGCAGACAAGAAGCACCTTTCATCCTCTACTATTAATGATTTGTCGAGTTCCATTCTGTTTCAAAACAGGCCTTCGATGAGGCAGCTCTTCTCAGTTCGCCGGAAGGGTCTAGCTGAAGAAACTGGAGTGTCACTAGTACACAGTTTAATGGCTCCTGTAGCATACCCGCCACCGTGGCAGTGGCAGACTATAGATTGCAATGTGCCTTTCCTAGAAGTTACAAAACATGCGCCTATTGCCCATATCCGAACATACTTCCTGGAACTTCAACACAAATACACACGTCCCGAGTTCTTTACAGACGCTTCTAAGTCTAACTCCTCTGTGTCCTACGTTGCTGTCGGCCCATCCTTTTCGGATGCTGGCCCTCTACATCCAGGCACAAGTATCTTCACAGCGGAAGCTTACGCGATACTTGTGGCTGCTAAACACATCAAACAACTACAAATACAAATAGCAGTAATTTATACAGACTCCCTCAGTGTGGTAACAGCTCTGCACAATCTTAAAAAACAAAAAAAACCCTGTCGTTGTCTCACTTTACTCCACTTTATGCACACTTTACACACTCAAACAACATGTTGTAGTGTGCTGGGTGCCAGAGTACCGTGAGATCCAAGGCAACGTGATGGCGGATCAGGTTGCTGCATCCGTCCACGAAAGCACTGCCACTACACCCATATCAATCCCAGCCCTTGATCTTAAGCCGTTTCTCAAACGAAAGCTCAGGGACTACTGGCAGAGTAAGTGGGATAGACACACACAAAACAAACTACACATTATTAAGGCACACCTTGGCCATTGGCTGCCAGTATCAAAATCATGTCACACAGAGGTAACACTAACGAGGCCCAGGATGAAACACACATACACGACACACTCATATCTTTTGTCCGGTGGCGATCCACCATTGTGTGACAGATGTGGTGAAGCACTAACAGTTTTTCACATTTAATCCAGTGCAAACAACTAGACACTCTTAGAAAACAACACTTTCCATTACCCTACCGACAACATATACCTTTACACCCTGCAATGTTCGTCGGTAGGGAACCACTGTTCACTCATAAATTGGCGCTAGTTTTTTTAAGAGATGTTCGCTTTTATCATGTCATATACCCAGGCAACGCGTAGCGCGACTTCTCAAGAGAGGTTGCTACGGCAGTGGCTACATTGAAAAGCACTTGCCTCGCAGTCCTTGGACACAAGGGCGCTGATGAGGCACTTGTGCTAGTGCCAAATATCTTTACACGTTTTTATTATCAAAACCTTTGTCATCCTTTTTTTTTACTATGCATATCACGCCACTGTCATGATTTTAATACGTATGTTTTTACCTGCATTATCGCGGGGAATATTAAGGCCCCTATACAGCCACACAACATATCATCCACATCTCTACTCATTGAAATGGCGCTCTTTGGCCATCAATTGGCCCTTGCGCCATAAAGCGCCACACATCATCATCATCAAGTGCAGGAGTTCTTAATGATTGTTATAGTTACTAAACTTACCTAAATGACTTTTCAATCACAAGACGTAAGGGTCCCATAGCAATGGAGAGATTGAGCAGATATTGTCATATATATATATATATATTTATTTATATATGTAAGGGCTATCTTGAAGACAGATAACGACAAATCATTATGCTGTAACCTTAAGGAACTACAACACTCAAAAACTAAAAGCCTGTTCCTTCTCCCTATTTGTCTCGGAATGTACTCAAGCCCATTATCTCGCTGTGAGCCACGAAAATATAACAATCACAAAGTCAATTATGTATGTCAGGTTATTATTAGAAGCATTATTCAGGACCTCGCATTTGAGCTAACAGAATTAGCACATTTCTCAAGTAATCTCGAACTTCGTTAAGAAGCCTAATTTTGAAAAGTACCACAGCACTTGTCCGAGTAGTAATCATCGAATGGTTTATTCAAAGGTGTTCATTGCCTCACGAATTGACTGCCACAAAATATTTCCAGAATCCGTCTAGTAAAATTGCAGTTAAAGATATTTCTCGCACGCCTCAAGTGCATTCTCTTTCTTTGCATTCCATAAAGCTCATTTAGAGCTATGCTCATGGGGGGGGGAGGGTATGACAAGAAGCAATGTTCATTTTTAACAGTGTGGTTCCTGACTTTGAGCACTTTTGTTGTTGTTTTTTTCGAACGCACGGCATACCTTTAGTGTGGCTATGAGCGGGCCCTAAAGCATATCTTGGCATACCGGGTGGCCACAGTAAGCATGCTGCTCGGGCTTTTGAAATCAGCCAGTGGACCTGAACTTTGCATTTATGGCGGGATCATTTGAGTTTACGGCATCATTTGTACAGAGAGAAGCTGTTGAGTGATTGCTAGCTAAATTTTAGAGTCGATTGTAAATGCCAGGCCACATGCTGCGCTACAACATTTGGCTGGCATGTTCTCAGGAGTCTCTGCTACTGAACGGCACTGTTTTCTGATCATGCTGAAGAAGTGTTGCACGGCTCATTAAGGCTGCACTGTCGCACACTGCGATTTAGTGACGGATTACAATGAGGACAAGGCAGAGGATGAAGATAACCATAATGGCGGCGATGTTTGCTCTTTCCGCATTGTGCAGTGGCCACCATATTCTTCGCCGCGGCTCTCGAGAAGGCACAGCTCAAGGGTGCCGACTGGTTCATCTACATCCTTGCGGCTTTTGTTGGATTCCACGTACTAGTGCACATCATCATGCAGATCCACTCTGCGCTCATGTCTAAGAAAGGTAAGCCGCACACATGTCACACGAACGTCACATACCCGTCTCAAACATATCACCTGCATAGTACATGCACATGACCCTCCTATCGCACGAACCTGAAACCTGTGAGATCTCGCATTGAGAGCACCGCTCTGAAAGTGCACGGACACGGTAGATGCAGTCTAAACAAATCAAACATCGTGTAAATTTATTCAATTTCATTTTACATACGATGATATCGCCAGCCGAATCAAAGCTCATGCTTTCTCAAAGCTCATGCTCAATCAAAGCTCATGCTTTTTGTGCAGCCACCTAGCCAAGTGGTTCTGCTGGCCATACCATGCTAACCAGAGTGATGATGATGGTGAACCCGCGTGAGCACTTTGCCACCTATTGCTCGGTGGTTCAACCTAAATGGGGCCTATTTGCAAGATATGTGTGCGCTACGAGGCACAAACGACTTTACAGAGGGTTATAGCACCCACCCTAACGCGACACCAAGTTCCACCACCAGGAAACATCTGCAAATCATCGAGCCTTTGTCTCAGTTACTGGCTGAGCTATAAAACAGCCAAAGAAGTTCGTGCGAATCGTCTTCCTCTTCGCCAACATAATGGTGCCTATTCAAGGCCCTTCAACGCAACACTCAGCACTCCTGCTGAGACAGAGTGACAAAGCCACGCAAACTCATTCGCAAGCGCGTTGCTAGCACGAAGCCTTCTTTCACCACTGACACAACACGCCAGTTTCTCATAGTGACGCTCGACACATGTTTTTTTGCAAGCATGACAAAAGCAAGGGGTCGCAAAAAAATTTACCTGCAGTGCTCCCCTTAACTACATTTCACAGCTGGAACCTAAAATGGTATTTAAGGCAAGATAATGAGTGGTCCTTAAAGATCAGACTAGATTCCCAGAGGAGGCACACAGGTGAAGGTTAGACAAAAAGTTAGTTGGGCAGAGGAGAATAGGAAGTTTGCGGGTATAGAGTGACAGCATCAAGCACAAGACCAAGTTAACTGCAGAGCATGGGAGAGGCCTTTGTCCTGCACTGGACGTAGTCAGGATGATGGTGATTATCATAATAAATTAAGAGTTTAGGTCTGTGGTTTAAAGAAAAAATTATACCATCACCCATTAAAGGGTACCATGTGTAGATGTGAAGCAGCGGGTGGTAACGCTTACACTGGCGGGGTTGACGCTGGCACATATCGCAACCTTGCACAGGAGACAAACCTGGGGAGGCGCAAAGCACGCAGTGGTGGGCTGGTGTTTCCAACTAGAACATGCCAATCACTGCTAATGGGCAATGAGAGACACAGGACACAAACACCCGCAGTCCGATTTTAGTTGATATGCACGCTGTGATTTTTTATTGTTCAACAATGCATAGGAAAACTATTCCACTGGCACTACCTTGGAGCTCACTATCCAGAGCGGATAAATACGAGGTGGCCAGTAAACGATTGCGCAGCATGACCAGTCAGTCTTTTCAATCAAGAAACTCGCCAGGAGACACTGCCTGCGTTGGCAGTGTGAGGCGAAAGAGGGGGTGCGTACAAGAGGTTGAGGGGGGTGCTTGCGCAAGGGGGTGTAAACATCACTGGAAGAGATGCTTAGAGGAGAGAGAGTGGGGAGCGAGTGTACGCTAGCAGACGCTGCCTGGGTCGGCCTTGCGAGGTGAGAGAGGGGGTAGTGTAGGAAAGACGTGATTGGGGGAGGGGACGCACATGCTCAGTGGGTATGTAGCATCGCTGGAAGGCATGCCTGGAGGAGAGAGAGGGGGGAGGGAGTGGGCTAGCAGATGCTGCTTGTGTTGACGTTGTGAGGCAGGAGAGAGAGAGGCACACTTGCTCTGTAAGGGTGGTTACGCCGCACACATTACTGAGCTTGACCATAAGACTCTTTCCATCTAAAACTGCTCTAAATTGAATGTTTTTACAGTCTTGTTAGCACATACTTTACAAATAGCGGCTATCCGAGATTTTTTCCAGTAAGTGATTCCATTAGAAAGCACAGTTACGCATGCTGATAAACTGAATATCAAGACCCCCAATTAACACCACCACAGAAATGCCTCTCTCCCATGTCCGAGGCACCAGAGAAACTATTTCTTGTGTCGTAAAAAAAGAAGCCGTTCGAGTGGCTCGCAAGCCTATGAACACATTAGTGCATTTTTCACCTGCTCCTTAAAACAAGCCCTCACCGAGAGAGTGAACCCAAGAATTCCTTGCACTGACTGTGGCTCGATCTCAATCAGCAAAACAGAAAACTTCAAAAAAAGGCTACAACAGCACAATGACACCTGCGGTTTTGCAGAATATCACAACCCAAAAGCCAAACGCTCCATACAGTCTAGTGGATGGCTGGTTTTTCTCAAGGTATCTTTGAGAGCGCTGTCCTACAATAGCGCACTGTGGAAGTCACGATAGATAATTTCATATTTTGTGGGCTCTATTGTAACACCAAATAAAATGCTATATAGTATGTTGTACATATATACAACATGCTGCATAGCATTTTATTGCCCTAAACATATGTTTTTAGTCCCTTAAACATCTGTCCTTCTAACATGCAGTGTTGCATGTTATTCTTCTTAGCTTTCAGTGAAATTAGTGTGTTCTTATTATGTCACTTGCCCGCAGCGATGCTTTAGGTCTAGTTTGGTGCCATTTTTTATGTTTTTGTCTCTTTCACTTTCACTTTCATTTTTATTTCTTAAAGACCCCACCAGGGGGAATTACATAAGAGTGGGTTACAATATATACAACAGGTTGAACACTTTATTATATGGTATACTATGATGTGATCGCTTCAATGAAGGCAGTAGGGCTTGAGTTAGTGATTTTTGTGCAAGGTCGTTCCAGTTCTTGGCTGCTCAAGGAAAAAAAGAAGATGCAAAGGTGACTGTGTGAGCATGAGGACGGGCCACGTTTAAGGGGTGACCAATGCGTTAGGATATGCATGATAGTGGCAAAATATACGGTGCTTGATTTAGTGCGCTGTGGTAGAATTGAAGAAATAATGATAAACTAGCAATGTGGCATCAATTAAAGTGTGTTTGTAAACCGGATTCCGATTTCGAAGATGTTAAGGTGGAATGAATGAAACGAACGGCACGATTCTGAAAAGCTTCAAGGGCGTTTGTGAGGAATACCTGGCGAGGATCCCAAATGGCTCATGCGTACTCTAGTTTGGACCGTATTAGTGTTTTATAAGCTAGTAACTTGACATGCTGCGGAGTGCTTTGTAAATGACATCGTGAAAACCCAAATGTTTTGTTAGATGATGTAATAACGTTGTTCTCATGTGCACACCAGTCGAGATTATTCGATATCGCCACACCTAAGTATTTATATTGGCATACGGTCTCTAGTTGCTGGTTTGCTATTTTATATTTGAATTTTAACAGGATAGGACTGCGAGAAAAATGACATTGTTTGTATTTACCAGTATTTAAAATCATTAACCAGTGTTGATCGACACCAGTCTTTAATGTTCTGCAAGTCCTGTTGAAGAGCGGACTGGTCAGTAATGTTAACAACTGAACGATAAATATCGAAATCATTGGCATACATGTGAATTTTGCTAGTAACATGCAATGGTAGGTCATTATTATATATTAGAAAAAGCAGGGATGCTGGATTCTACTGAAAGAGGCTCATAGTTGTTATTGTACGCGCACTGACTGCAGGTGGTTAGTGAGGAACTGCTCAATCCATGTTAGAACTGTGGGGTTTAGATTCAGTCGGGACAGTTTTAGTAGTAAGCGTTGATGAGCAACTTTGTCGAATGCTTTCGGGAAGTCAAGAAAAGTTGCATCAGTTTGAGTGTTCGCGTCTAGATTGAGGTGCAGGTCATAGAGAAAGGCAGCTCATTGTTTTTTGCAGGATAGTCCCTTGCGAAACCCATGCTGAGAATGGTGAAAAAAAATTTTTCAATCAAGGGAGCTAATTATATGAGTGTATATGACATGCTTCATGATCGTACAAGGCAGTGATGTGATGGAAATGGGGCAGTAGTTTAAGGGTGAACTCTTGCTACCCTATTTGTAGACTGGAACGACTTTGGCCATTTTCCACTCTTTTGGTAGGTTTCCAGATGACAATGACTGGGAAAACAACAGCGTTAGATAAGTCTCTCTGCTTGCTGTGGCATTATCATCCTTGCTTTTGATACCATTGTTCTTTAGCTGTTCAGTGTCTGTGAAATAGTGATAAATGATCTCTTCTCCATTTTTAATTTCATTTCTTCAAAGTGGCTTCCAATGACATAAAGATGCAAGACAGGTCAGCTGCGAATGGTGTTCACGCAGTAGAGCCAGGCCTCGATATGGAGCCTCCAGCAACGGATGCCCCGGTATGAGAATACATTATGAGACTCTTATGCAATGGTCTCATTTACTTACTTTATTTATTTACAGATCCTGTCAGCCCTTACACAAAGCTATTAGAGGGGCAGAAAAAAAAACATAAAAAAACATTCTAGAATGAGAACAAAATGAACATGTGTAATTGGAACTTACTGATAAAGAAACAGTATTGAGTAGTATACCACAAGATGCAACCAGATAACAAATTTAAATGTGCAAGATCATGTACCCACAAATAGTACTTTGTTAGCTATAAATGAGAATATGAGCTGTGGGTTTCAGAATAAATCTGTGGATGAGAATGAAAATGTTTCTTTGGTGAAAGAATTCCATTCGTTTATAGCTCTTGGAAAAAGCTATACTTATAACAATCAGTAAAAACAGCAGGAGCACCACAGAAACAAAAACATAAAAGGAAACATTCTAGAATGAGAACAAAATGAACATGTATAATAGGAACTTACTGATAAAGAAACAGTATTGAGTAGTATACCACAAGATGCAACCAGATAACAAATTTAAATGTGCAAGATCATGTACCCACAAATAAAACTTTGTCAGCTATAAACGAGAATATGAGCTGTGGGTTTCAGGAAATAAATCTGTCGATGAGAAAGAAACTGTTTCTTTGGTGAAGGAATTACATTCGTTTATAGCTCTTGGAAAAAGCTATACATATAACAATCAGTAAAAACAGAAGGAGCACGGATGAGTATTGAATGACGGATGTCTAGAAGTTTCCTCACGAAGAGTATCAAAATAGTCAACATAGGTTACATGGACATTGTCAATTATCAATCAGGTGGGAATATTTAGGTCTCTCGTGTTTCGTTCGAGCCTGGATCATAGGCAACTGTACTTAGTGCACACAGGGTGAAGCCGCCTATCAATATTTATTGAATATAAAGCGGACTAGTAAATGCTGAATTTTTTCAATTTTTGAGATGTTTGTAACACAATAAGGATTCTAGATTATTTTAGCATCTTCTATGATGGTCTAATAAGTATTTTGTGGGCTAAAATTAATTTCATATGTTGCAGAGTTACGATGTAGAAAGTAAGAAAGTATTGTATTGGTTGATTTAGTTTTTTAACACATCATGAGACATGGAAGAAGTGGCGATAACATCACATTTCCTTTATAGAGACTGGCATATTCAAGGATGCAAAAGAATTCTATGTCTAAATATCAAACTTACATCGGGACCAGCCAGTTGAGGGCGACTTTCATTTCGAGTGACCATATCCTGAAAAAAAAGTACTTTATAGGCACTCGTCTCTCTATCCATTTCGCTGATGCTTTGCAGTGAAATCATGTCTAAGAATTCACAGCTTTTGTTGTAATACTTAGTATCATTAATTCATGTTTATTTCTGAAAAGGTAATCATGAAGTTGTTTCAAAGAGCCCCCAAAATATATGACAATTTTGATTGGCATTTTTGTTTTGTTGAAGAGTAGCTCTGTGGCTGGGCTTTTAACCAATTGTAGGATAGCTGGCATCTCAACATGGTTAGAAATGAACAAAAAGAACAAGAAGGCACAGCGCTGAACTTGCTACTAAATTTATTTTTGAAAAAAAAAAACTCATACATTCTGCTTTTGACCAGTAATTGCGTTTTTGACATTCCTGACAGCTCAAAAAGTGCACAGTGTGAAGGAGGCATATTGCATGTAGCAACAAGTGGTGTTATAATGCAAAAATGTTTCATTCCAGGGAGGTGGCTTCCGACGGATTCATGCTCGGAATCTACCTCGTTGTTGCCATACTCGTAGTAGCGGCACTGGTCTCTACCATCTGGTTTGCTTCTGCACCATGAAAACATTGATGAGGTCATAGAGTGTCAAGAGAGAGAACGAGAGGAGGCTGTGTCGCCACGCTTATGGATCACAGTGAGAAAACCGTACAGCTGGCTGGCCCTACACACAGACCGCACATAAACAAAGAACACAGACCTAGCTGGACTATATGATGGTCTGTCTATATGCGAACCGGTTTGTGGATTGTCCTCAGCCAGTCGAGCTATCACCGTCACCACCTGTGCCTCATCTCACAGTGGTCAAGTGCCTCCAGAGGCTGGTGGAGAACAAAGCCGAAACGTCCTTCATTCATATCAACAAAACGTTTCACCAAGATAATACACACAAGAAACCCTAGCACATCCGGCTGCCTTTGGACATGAATAGTGCCAATGCTTCGTATCAAGGAAGCTCTCTCGTGTGTGTGTGCATTTGTTATTTGCAAGACTTTTCGAACAATTTTCTTGTGTATTGTTAGTCTACTTTATTTTGTGCTGATGTATGTGCTTATCTTGTTTTCTTTTAATGCTAATCAAGTGTGTAACGTTCCAGTGAACGAAGTCCCCCAGTATACGTTACCTTTTTATGAAACGCTGTGGCCTCGAATAGTCCTTACATAGTGATTTTGATGCGTTGTATTTTTTTGTTCGCCTGTAACAATACCTTCGCTGTTTTTGAGGTCCTGCTTTCTGCTTAGAAAGCAGAAGTGCATGGCATTTAGTTTTTTAATATTTTTAGTGCTTCTACCTCATCTCTAAAAATGTTTATATATGACTTAGCAAGCCTAACAATTTTATCAGCTGTAGTTTTATATTATTGAGCTTTGCTTCGCAGCTAGAAGATGGTGCTTACACCTAGAGTATTGTATATATAATGGAGCAAACTTCTCTACCAACGGGAATGCAGATAATGATGTAAATAAGCGAGTAATATATTGTGTTAATAAATAGTTGTTTTCTTTTTTAATGATGCCTATTTAATTTTGTTTATAGGGTGTAAGGAAATACCAGTGCCATCCTTTCTTAAAGGAGCACTGACATCAAATTTCAAGATCGAGATGTGCCCATCAATTCAATCTCTTGGTATGCATAGGTCTTCATTACTAAATTATAAAAGCGTCCATCGCGTCTAGTTATTTTATTTCGACGTCAAACAGCGTAGGAAAAGCTAAGGAGAAAAAACCAAAAATAGACTGGCCTGCGACATCGACACTAGTGCTACGTGTTCGGTGTGATACATTCCACAAATACCAACCTGAGTGACGATACGCTAGTAACGATGACGTCGACGATCCCTGAGTGCGTATGGAGCCGACTTCCAGTCTCTCTCTCACTAGTGGCTCTGCTTGCTGTGTTGAAGCGTGTATGCGATCCACCGTGTCACATCGACTGATTTGCTCTGTGCTCCACTGCGTGTGAGGAAGATCATTCAGAGTGACAATATATGCCAGATTGTCGGAGAACTGTTGCGTAATGAGAACCTGCACGCTGAGGCGCGGAAAAAAATGAAAGTACTTGGCGTTCATGTCTTTCCAAGCCACAAACCTCAACGCAGCCAGTGGGTTCACTTCGTACTCGCTGTTGGACAGAGGGGCTGGACGCCTGTGAAGAAGAGCTGTAATTTGTTCCCTTCCCTTTGCGGCCATCTGCTACAGAGTAAATCCTGTCTTGGCGAACTAGTTGGGTTTCACATGCAGTACGAGGCCTCCTCTCGAGGCCGGGGCTATTCCTACCGTGTGCCCTGCAGCACCAAACGTCCATGACATGGGGTGCGTAGTCAGTGTTCCTGAACTCCGACAGTACGGCCGGGACTGATAAATACATTGCATTGAACGCGAAGCTTGTTTATCAAGGATCGTCGCGAAATCATGGCGATACCCAATTCCAGGTCGCTGTCGTTATCACTTGCCGATGTTGACCGCGACGATGGCAGGAACAACGATGTTGGCGACAAAGGCATGTCTACGCCTTCGAAGACGCAGCTGGACTGACTGGTTGGTTGGTTGGTCCCAAGAGGAATGGCTTAACCCACCACGGGGGATCGGCCATCAATCGCATGGCAGTGGGATACAAAATAAATGAAATACAGTAAAATATATGAAATGGACTAGTGACTAGAATAAGTAATGAGTATATACTTATGAGATTAGCATGGTAGCCGGTTTGATTCTTTTATATAGTTATATAGCTCCATATATGTCCCTGTTGCAATGACCTAGTTCCGAAGCCCCTAGGGAGAGACTGTACGTGCGCTCCTAGCAGAAGAAATGCCAGTGTGACGTCACCATTTTTTGTGGAAGTGGCATCAGCTGTGCAGCAGCTTTCTCGTGGCCGCGAGATAGCGCAGCCAGCACTACAATTTGGCGGGCTTTTCTTCCATTTGGACCGCGTTCTATAGTGAATATATTAATCAATATTACTGATACTCATTCGTCAATCAGATGCGCGTTAGCTGGTGAATCGCAGCTAGGGGATCGATAGCTACTCCTTGATGCAAAAATTTGACTGTCTGTCTGTCTGTCTGTCTGTCTGTCTATCTATCTATCTATCTATCTATCTATCTATCTATCTGTCTATCTATCTATCTATCTATCTGTCTATCTATCTATCTATCTATCTATCTATCTATCTATCTATCTGTGTCTGTCTGTCTGTCTGTCTGTCTGTCTGTCTATGACTGTTAGCTCTTCTGGCTGTTTAGATAATGGTATCGATACCAAACTTGTTGTGGCATAACATGACTGTATGAAGAACATATTTGACTAGTCATGACATGAAAATCAGGACATGTATGTCATGAATGTCATGATTCACATTTCATGGTCCTGCAGCTATCGCGATGGCTTCATTCACATGACATGTTGCAAAACTGGTATGATATGACATGATTGCATGCTCAACAGAAGCGACCGACCCAATGCGAAAATCATGACATGCATTTCATGTAACAACATGACTATATGCCACGCTCATAATGCGCTCGCGGCCGTTTCGTTAGTGTCACATATACAAAAATTGGTATTACAGTACGTGAATGGATGATGAAGGTATGTGACTGGTGCAAACATGGTAGTCATGAGATGCATGTCATGTAGCAACATAACTACATGCCACGCCCATGAAGCGCTGGCGGCCGTTTCACTGGCTTCGCTTTGACCAAATTTGGTTTACGGGACATGAATGGATGACGAAGGTATGATACTGGTGCAAACATGGCAAACGTGATATGCGTGTCATGTAACATGACTACATGCTACGCTCATGATACGCTCGCAGCTGTTTTGCTGGCTTCACATGTACCAAACTCGGTATTACGCGACGCGAACGGACGACATAGGTAAATGACACATCCAAACATGATCATCATGACATGCGTGTCATGTAACAACATGACTCTCATGCCACACTCATGATGCGCTCGCGGCCGTTTCGCTAGCTTACATATGCCAAATTTCGTATTACGTGACGTCAATGAATGACGAAGGTATGATACTGGTGCAAACATGATAATCAGGAGATGCGTGTCATGTGAGACCATGACTACATACCACAGTGAAGGCGCCAATACATTTGGACGTGACGTGGCCTGAGCTAGAGTAGTCTGGTGAACTGAGGGGAAAACATCAGGCACTCACCGCATCGATGTCGCTGACGCCGGCCGATCCCGCAGCTGCCAACCACTGTTGCGTAGCGCCGGGCCTATCCCGCCGCTGACCTCCACTGTTGAGAAACGGCGGACCGATCCCGCCGAAGCCACGACTGTTGCGAAAGACGGCGACGCCAACACGGCCCCGGAGGCGCCACTGCTTTCAACTCCGCCGGGAAGGTCACCAGCCGTTTGGTAGCGTATGTTTATCAGCTCGCGACTGCTTCTGCGCAGAGCTGATAAGACGAGCGGACGAGACGACGGTGAGTTAAACAAGGTTTATGTACAGCATATTTACAGAGGCGTTACAATTTCGGCACTGGGGCCGACAGAGACTCGAAGAGCCGAGCTCTCTTCTCTAACACATAGGTCAGCCTTTCGCCTAAGACCGCTGACTCACACACATGTCGGCACTCCGACACGGGGACTCCTCTCCTAGGACCTCCGATCGCGACGCGCCGCAGGGCTTCTTTTATTTACACCGGGTCCAACCAAAATGTCCAATCAGAAGCGCCGCTGGTCGTCCGGGCAGATTCCGCCAATGGGGCCGCCGCGCCATGCGTCAGACCACCTGACACGAGGACGCCGGCTCGCTGTCACGTGCGCAACTGACTCACTGCACGTGGGCCAGAGGAGCGCCGCGCGTGTTCACGCCGTCGAGGTGATCGCGCCCGGCAGACTGCGGGCTGGCCTTGACCCAGATTGCCTTTTTCAGAGGCACGGTCGTTTGACGAGGACTCGCTGGCATAACAACGTTCATTTCGTCGCGACACGCCAGGCACCGGTCTGGCCATATACTCGCAGGCGCCCTTCCGGCGTCCAGTGTCCCTCCGTCCCGAAAAAAGGGAGAGACAGTGTTGTCTGGGTAACGCATCGGCGCAAAATACAGCATGTCGCATTTCGCGCCGGTTGGCGTCGGGCCGCGCCGACGGACGCTGGTCGCGCCGGTCCCACCTGGCGTCGGACTGTAGAATGTTCGCGTTTTCCTAACGTAGCGTCTTTTGTCTATAGCCTGCGTGCGCGTCAACGCTACATTGGAGTTTCATGATGCGCTCGCGGCCGTTTTGCTAGCTCCACATATACCAAATTAGGTGTTATGCGGCGTCAATGGATGATGAAAGTATATATCACTGGCGCAAACAAGGTAAGGCTGACAAGCGTGTCATTTAAGAAAAGGACAACACACCATGCTGATAGCGTGCTCGCGGCCGTTTGGCTAGCTCCACATTTACTAAATTTGGTATGACGTGACATGAATAGATGACGAAGGTAAACGACACATCCAAACATGATAATCATGACACGGAAGTCGTGTACGGCTTCGTTTTCATCCACTTCATAATGTGCTGATTTAACAGTGACATATCAACATTTCTCATTCGCGCTTCGCATATTGTTGATTCCAACTGTACGTGGGATCTGCCAATTCTTTTTAATTCTTCTTCTTTTGAAGTACCCTTTGTAAAATAAAGCTACGTTATCGCATGCGTGCTCAGATTTGAGTCATTCTGCCGATCGACACTGATAGACCGTTCGAATTCCCTGACACCAAACGCCCTTTTAAAATTACTCGTATATGAGATGAGGCGATAACCTAGACTATCATATAATCGTCAGTTCGATCCATCCTGCCCTCATCTCTCCCTAGGTGTACCACGCCTAGCGGTACGTGTACCCAGCAAAGCTCGCGTCTTCTTCTAAGCGTGCCACAATCCGCAAAGCGCTTTCCCCTTCCAAGTCCTTCTACTCGATGTTAAATACGTACTGATGCCCGGGAAGGCACGCGAAAAAGATTTCGGGGATATATATATATATATATATATATATATATATATATATATTGTAGTGGGGCAGAAGGAGAGAGACAGTATCTAGTCGGAGCACCTAGAAGACGACTACGACGAAGAGCAGAGCTCGTGACAGCGACTGACACCTCTTGAACCAGGCAGTTGGTTTTATTCAATAAACCCCCTTATAATTTGGTGGAGGTGCTGGGTAGTCTTCGAAGCTGGAACTACGAAGTCGCACCTTACCTGCAGTGCCAGCAATGCCGGAAGAACCCTCCACCCAAGGTACCTCGTAAGTTCCCCCCCTCTACATGTCCCGGCGTGTGGCCACTGCGTCACCCACCGATCTTCAGCGGCACTGACGGCCAAGACGTTGAGGAGTAGCTGGCTACTTACCAAAAGGTGAGCGCAGCGAACAAGTGGTACGATGCGGCTAAGCTGACCTATGTAAGCTGTTACTTGTCCGGCGTCGCTAGTCTCTGGTTGCGCAATCACGAAGCCGACATTGCCAGCTGGGATTCATTCAAGGCCTCC